GGCCGTGCAGATATGCATCACTGTGAGGGGCGGTGCAGATATGCATCACTGTGAGGGGCGGTGCAGATATGCATCACTGTGAGGGGCGGTGCAGATATGCATCACTGTGAGGGGCCGTGCAGATATGCATCACTGTGAGGGGCGGTGCAGATATGCATCACTGTGAGGGGCGGTGCAGATATGCATCACTGTGAGGGGCGGTGCAGATATGCATCACTGTGAGGGGCGGTGCAGATATGCATCACTGTGAGGGGCCGTGCAGATATGCATCACTGTGAGGGGCCGTGCAGATATGCATCACTGTGAGGGGCCGTGCAGATATGCATCACTGTGAGGGGCCGTGCAGATATGCATCACTGTGAGGGGCCGTGCAGATATGCATCACTGTGAGGGGCCGTGCAGATATGCATCACTGTGAGGGGCCGTGCAGATATGCATCACTGTGAGGGGCGGTGCAGATATGCATCACTGTGAGGGGCGGTGCAGATATGCATCACTGTGAGGGGCGGTGCAGATATGCATCACTGTGAGGGGCCGTGCAGATATGCATCACTGTGAGGGGCCGTGCAGATATGCATCACTGTGAGGGGCGGTGCAGATATGCATCACTGTGAGGGGCGGTGCAGATATGCATCACTGTGAGGGGCCGTGCAGATATGCATCACTGTGAGGGGCCGTGCAGATATGCATCACTGTGAGGGGCCGTGCAGATATGCATCACTGTGAGGGGCCGTGCAGATATGCATCACTGTGAGGGGCCGTGCAGATATGCATCACTGTGAGGGGCCGTGCAGATATGCATCACTGTGAGGGGCCGTGCAGATATGCATCACTGTGAGGGGCCGTGCAGATATGCATCACTGTGAGGGGCCGTGCAGATATGCATCACTGTGAGGGGCCGTGCAGATATGCATCACTGTGAGGGGCGGTGCAGATATGCATCACTGTGAGGGGCGGTGCAGATATGCATCACTGTGAGGGGCGGTGCAGATATGCATCACTGTGAGGGGCGGTGCAGATATGCATCACTGTGAGGGGCGGTGCAGATATGCATCACTGTGAGGGGCGGTGCAGATATGCATCACTGTGAGGGGCGGTGCAGATATGCATCACTGTGAGGGGCGGTGCAGATATGCATCACTGTGAGGGGCCGTGCAGATATGCATCACTGTGAGGGGCCGTGCAGATATGCATCACTGTGAGGGGCCGTGCAGATATGCATCACTGTGAGGGGCGGTGCAGATATGCATCACTGTGAGGGGCGGTGCAGATATGCATCACTGTGAGGGGCCGTGCAGATATGCATCACTGTGAGGGGCCGTGCAGATATGCATCACTGTGAGGGGCCGTGCAGATATGCATCACTGTGAGGGGCGGTGCAGATATGCATCACTGTGAGGGGCGGTGCAGATATGCATCACTGTGAGGGGCCGTGCAGATATGCATCACTGTGAGGGGCCGTGCAGATATGCATCACTGTGAGGGGCCGTGCAGATATGCATCACTGTGAGGGGCCGTGCAGATATGCATCACTGTGAGGGGCCGTGCAGATATGCATCACTGTGAGGGGCCGTGCAGATATGCATCACTGTGAGGGGCCGTGCAGATATGCATCACTGTGAGGGGCCGTGCAGATATGCATCACTGTGAGGGGCCGTGCAGATATGCATCACTGTGAGGGGCCGTGCAGATATGCATCACTGTGAGGGGCCGTGCAGATATGCATCACTGTGAGGGGCCGTGCAGATATGCATCACTGTGAGGGGCCGTGCAGATATGCATCACTGTGAGGGGCCGTGCAGATATGCATCACTGTGAGGGGCCGTGCAGATATGCATCACTGTGAGGGGCCGTGCAGATATGCATCACTGTGAGGGGCCGTGCAGATATGCATCACTGTGAGGGGCCGTGCAGATATGCATCACTGTGAGGGGCCGTGCAGATATGCATCACTGTGAGGGGCCGTGCAGATATGCATCACTGTGAGGGGCCGTGCAGATATGCATCACTGTGAGGGGCCGTGCAGATATGCATCACTGTGAGGGGCCGTGCAGATATGCATCACTGTGAGGGGCCGTGCAGATATGCATCACTGTGAGGGGCCGTGCAGATATGCATCACTGTGAGGGGCCGTGCAGATATGCATCACTGTGAGGGGCCGTGCAGATATGCATCACTGTGAGGGGCCGTGCAGATATGCATCACTGTGAGGGGCCGTGCAGATATGCATCACTGTGAGGGGCCGTGCAGATATGCATCACTGTGAGGGGCCGTGCAGATATGCATCACTGTGAGGGGCCGTGCAGATATGCATCACTGTGAGGGGCCGTGCAGATATGCATCACTGTGAGGGGCCGTGCAGATATGCATCACTGTGAGGGGCCGTGCAGATATGCATCACTGTGAGGGGCCGTGCAGATATGCATCACTGTGAGGGGCCGTGCAGATATGCATCACTGTGAGGGGCCGTGCAGATATGCATCACTGTGAGGGGCCGTGCAGATATGCATCACTGTGAGGGGCCGTGCAGATATGCATCACTGTGAGGGGCCGTGCAGATATGCATCACTGTGAGGGGCCGTGCAGATATGCATCACTGTGAGGGGCCGTGCAGATATGCATCACTGTGAGGGGCCGTGCAGATATGCATCACTGTGAGGGGCCGTGCAGATATGCATCACTGTGAGGGGCCGTGCAGATATGCATCACTGTGAGGGGCCGTGCAGATATGCATCACTGTGAGGGGCCGTGCAGATATGCATCACTGTGAGGGGCCGTGCAGATATGCATCACTGTGAGGGGCCGTGCAGATATGCATCACTGTGAGGGGCCGTGCAGATATGCATCACTGTGAGGGGCCGTGCAGATATGCATCACTGTGAGGGGCCGTGCAGATATGCATCACTGTGAGGGGCCGTGCAGATATGCATCACTGTGAGGGGCCGTGCAGATATGCATCACTGTGAGGGGCCGTGCAGATATGCATCACTGTGAGGGGCCGTGCAGATATGCATCACTGTGAGGGGCCGTGCAGATATGCATCACTGTGAGGGGCCGTGCAGATATGCATCACTGTGAGGGGCCGTGCAGATATGCATCACTGTGAGGGGCCGTGCAGATATGCATCACTGTGAGGGGCCGTGCAGATATGCATCACTGTGAGGGGCCGTGCAGATATGCATCACTGTGAGGGGCCGTGCAGATATGCATCACTGTGAGGGGCCGTGCAGATATGCATCACTGTGAGGGGCCGTGCAGATATGCATCACTGTGAGGGGCCGTGCAGATATGCATCACTGTGAGGGGCCGTGCAGATATGCATCACTGTGAGGGGCCGTGCAGATATGCATCACTGTGAGGGGCCGTGCAGATATGCATCACTGTGAGGGGCCGTGCAGATATGCATCACTGTGAGGGGCCGTGCAGATATGCATCACTGTGAGGGGCCGTGCAGATATGCATCACTGTGAGGGGCCGTGCAGATATGCATCACTGTGAGGGGCCGTGCAGATATGCATCACTGTGAGGGGCCGTGCAGATATGCATCACTGTGAGGGGCCGTGCAGATATGCATCACTGTGAGGGGCCGTGCAGATATGCATCACTGTGAGGGGCCGTGCAGATATGCATCACTGTGAGGGGCCGTGCAGATATGCATCACTGTGAGGGGCCGTGCAGATATGCATCACTGTGAGGGGCCGTGCAGATATGCATCACTGTGAGGGGCCGTGCAGATATGCATCACTGTGAGGGGCCGTGCAGATATGCATCACTGTGAGGGGCCGTGCAGATATGCATCACTGTGAGGGGCCGTGCAGATATGCATCACTGTGAGGGGCCGTGCAGATATGCATCACTGTGAGGGGCCGTGCAGATATGCATCACTGTGAGGGGCCGTGCAGATATGCATCACTGTGAGGGGCCGTGCAGATATGCATCACTGTGAGGGGCCGTGCAGATATGCATCACTGTGAGGGGCCGTGCAGATATGCATCACTGTGAGGGGCCGTGCAGATATGCATCACTGTGAGGGGCCGTGCAGATATGCATCACTGTGAGGGGCCGTGCAGATATGCATCACTGTGAGGGGCCGTGCAGATATGCATCACTGTGAGGGGCCGTGCAGATATGCATCACTGTGAGGGGCCGTGCAGATATGCATCACTGTGAGGGGCCGTGCAGATATGCATCACTGTGAGGGGCCGTGCAGATATGCATCACTGTGAGGGGCCGTGCAGATATGCATCACTGTGAGGGGCGGTGCAGATATGCATCACTGTGAGGGGCCGTGCAGATATGCATCACTGTGAGGGGCCGTGCAGATATGCATCACTGTGAGGGGCCGTGCAGATATGCATCACTGTGAGGGGCCGTGCAGATATGCATCACTGTGAGGGGCCGTGCAGATATGCATCACTGTGAGGGGCGTGCAGATATGCATCACTGTGAGGGGCCGTGCAGATATGCATCACTGTGAGGGGCCGTGCAGATATGCATCACTGTGAGGGGCCGTGCAGATATGCATCACTGTGAGGGGCCGTGCAGATATGCATCACTGTGAGGGGCCGTGCAGATATGCATCACTGTGAGGGGCCGTGCAGATATGCATCACTGTGAGGGGCCGTGCAGATATGCATCACTGTGAGGGGCCGTGCAGATATGCATCACTGTGAGGGGCCGTGCAGATATGCATCACTGTGAGGGGCCGTGCAGATATGCATCACTGTGAGGGGCCGTGCAGATATGCATCACTGTGAGGGGCCGTGCAGATATGCATCACTGTGAGGGGCCGTGCAGATATGCATCACTGTGAGGGGCGGTGCAGATATGCATCACTGTGAGGGGCCGTGCAGATATGCATCACTGTGAGGGGCCGTGCAGATATGCATCACTGTGAGGGGCCGTGCAGATATGCATCACTGTGAGGGGCGGTGCAGATATGCATCACTGTGAGGGGCCGTGCAGATATGCATCACTGTGAGGGGCGGTGCAGATATGCATCACTGTGAGGGGCCGTGCAGATATGCATCACTGTGAGGGGCGGTGCAGATATGCATCACTGTGAGCTCACTGACCTCCCCCACGACGATCACGAGCTGCCCTGGTGGAATGTCCAGCGTCACATCACACAGTGCCAACGCCACTTCTCCCCCATCCCCTCCCTCCTTCCCTCCTTGCATCCCTCCGTCCTCCCCTCCGTCCTTTGCATCATGTGCACCCAGGCCGTTCACACCCACTGCCACAGCACTGCCACTCTCACCACTGTCACTGCTATCACCACTACTCGTGCTGCCCCCTCCCCAGGAGAAGGAGGCATTGCAAAGCTTTATGCTGCCCTTCTGGCTGCCCGGCTCCTCTTCCAACGGAACGATCTCGGGCAGCAGCAGGAACTTTTCAACACGGCCTGCGGAGACCTTGGCTTGCACGTAGTCGTTGATTTGATCGGGAATCATGGCCAGGGGGAACCTGCACGTGCACATGCAACAAGGGTGGAGCACGCAGGGGGAAGGGGGGGTGGAAGGGACGAGTGGAGGTCCGGATGGAGGCGTGTGGGCATTGGACGATGGGAATGAGAGAAGCGAGGGTGTCCATATTGGCTGCCTGTGCAATGGCGAGTGGAACAAGCAGCAATCCACTCACGCGGCCACCTGAGCCATGGCTTAGTGCAACAGGAACTAGCGAAGAAGGGTCACGAGCAGGTAGTACTCCCACACCAAAGCAGACTCACCCCAGACACACCCAAGGGAGGTGGCCATGAGGGGGGAGGTGGCCATGAGGGGGGAGGTGGCGGACCTGAGGAGGTTGAAGAGGGCGAGGGCGGGGAAGGCGATGTCAGCGGTGAGCGGGCGGCCGAGCAGCACGTAGGCGGCGAGGGAGACGACACTGACCACCATGGGCGTGAGGTAGTACACGAATAGACCCATGGCCTCTGGTGGTGGGGGGGGAGGGGGCATGGAGAGCAGAGGGGGCATGGAGAGCAGAGGGGGCATGGAGGTGATAGGGTAAGATGGAATGCTGACGACGACGATGCGTTTGTGGAAGAGCAGCATGACGGTCTGGCCATGAGAGTGAGTGAGGTGGTGCGTTGGCAGAGCAAACCTTGATGGGGCACAGCACGCACACACCCCTGCACCACACACCCCTGCACCACACACCCCTGCACCACACACCCCTGCACCACACAACCATCACCATCAATCCCCGCACAAGAGCCAAACCTCAACACGCCCATCCATTCATCCACCAGCTTAACCCTCCCACCCACCCACCCACCCACCCACCCACCCACCCACCCACCCACCCACCCACCCACCCACCCACCGAGCAGCACGGAGACAGTGACCTCCTTCATCTCCTGCGCCCGCTTGGCCTCTATGCGCGCCTTGAACAGCGCCTCCCAGCCGTTGAGCTTGAGCGCACGCACGGCCCCCACGGCCTCGGAGAGCAGGCGCACACGCGCATCGGTGCGCGCTATGAGGCGGTGCCGCACCGCTGACAGGCGCCCCATCAGCACCCCGTTGAACGGCATCAACAGCAGCATCGTCACCAGCCCCGCCAGGGCTGTGGGGATGCGCGTGAAGAGCGGAAGGAGGGAGGAGGGAGGAGGGTGGGGGGAGGAGGAGGTAGAGTGGGGGGAAGGGAGGGGGGTGTTGGGGGGAGGGGGGGGGGGAGGAAAACATTGTAAGATGGGGAAAGAAAATGGGGAGAAGGAGATGAGAGTGCAGTGGGGTGCAGATATTGATGATGATGTTCAGGTGCACTGATGCACCCAAGCAGCTGTTAGAATATCTCTCCTCTTGTAACCTGCATATATGCTATAGGATAGGCTAGAGTTAAGCACCCAAACTTAGTTTGGGTGTACAAGTCGGGGTAACCCAGTTTGTAGGTTGGAAACCCAACCTTGGTCCAATTATTGGACCCCAAAGGTTGGGTTGGGTAGAATTATTGGTCCCCTCCAATAATGTTGGCCCAACCCCAACTTGGCCAACATTATTGGACCCCACCAATAATTCCCCAACCCAACTTCTTGGTTGGGGTCCAATAATGCTCACCTAGGCTAGTATCCAACTCACTCCCTATGTATACCCCCATCTTTCTCAATCCAATCATCAACTTCATTCCTAACTCTTCTTCTCACATGGTATAGAGCTTATATTCCTAGGCCTACTTCCCTCATCTCAAAGGCCCACCTGGCCGCCGCAACCCCCGGCCTCCTTTCTCCCTCATTTTTTTTTCTCTCGGGTATCCCACCGCCCTCCCCCCCCCCTTTAGCGCCCTTTCCCTCCGCAGCTCCGCGGCCTCTCAAGCCGCTGCAGCCCGCGCCACTCCCCCCCGCGGCCTTGTCACCGCCTCCGCGCTCGCCTCGTCGCGGCCTCGCCAACCGCCGCCGACTGCGCCACTCCGCGGCCTTGACGCCGCCTCCGCGCAAGTGCCGCCGCGGCCTCGTCAGCCGCTGCCGCTCGCGCCCTTTCCCCCCCGCGGCCCCAACGCCGCCTCCGCGCTCGCCTCCGCGCTCGCCTCGCCGCGGCCTCGCTGCCCGCGCCACTCCGCGGCCTCGACGCCGCTTCCGCGCCAGCTTCGCCGCGGCCTCGCCAGCCGCTGCCGCCCGCGCCGCTCCCTTCCGCGGCCTCGACGCCGCCTCCGCGCCAGAGTCGCCGCGGCCTCGCCAGCCGCTGCCGCCCGCGCTGCTCCCCACCGCGGCCTCAACGCCGCCTCCGCGCCAGCGTCGCCGCGGCCTCACCAGCCGGTGCCGCCCGCGCTGCTCCCCTCCGCGGCCTCGACGCCGCCCCCCGCGGCCCCGACGCCGCCTCCGCGCCAGAGTCGCCGCGGCCTCGCCAGCCGCTGCCGCCCGCGCTGCTCCCCACCGCGGCCTCAACGCCGCCTCTGCGCCAGCGTCGCCGCGGCCTCACCAGCCGGTGCCGCCCGCGCTGCTCCCCTACGCGGCCTCGACGCCGCCCCCCGCGGCCCGACGCCGCCTCCGCGCCAGAGTCGCCGCGGCCTCGCCAGCCGCTGCCGCCCGCGCTGCTCCCCTCCGCGGCCTCGACGCCGCCCCCCGCGGCCCCGACGCCGCCTCCGCGCCAGAGTCGCCGCGGCCTCGCCAGCCGCTGCCGCCCGCGCTGCTCCCCACCGCGGCCTCAACGCCGCCTCCGCGCCAGCGTCGCCGCGGCCTCACCAGCCGGTGCCGCCCGCGCTGCTCCCCTCCGCGGCCTCGACGCCGCCCCCCGCGGCCCGACGCCGCCTCCGCGCCAGAGTCGCCGCGGCCTCGCCAGCCGCTGCCGCCCGCGCTGCTCCCCACCGCGGCCTCAACGCCGCCTCCGCGCCAGCGTCGCCGCGGCCTCACCAGCCGGTGCCGCCCGCGCTGCTCCCCTCCGCGGCCTCGACGCCGCCCCCCGCGGCCCCGACGCCGCCTCCGCGCCAGAGTCGCCGCGGCCTCGCCAGCCGCTGCCGCCCGCGCTGCTCCCCACCGCGGCCTCAACGCCGCCTCTGCGCCAGCGTCGCCGCGGCCTCACCAGCCGGTGCCGCCCGCGCTGCTCCCCTACGCGGCCTCGACGCCGCCCCCCGCGGCCCGACGCCGCCTCCGCGCCAGAGTCGCCGCGGCCTCGCCAGCCGCTGCCGCCCGCGCTGCTCCCCACCGCGGCCTCAACGCCGCCTCTGCGCCAGCGTCGCCGCGGCCTCACCAGCCGGTGCCGCCCGCGCTGCTCCCCTACGCGGCCTCGACGCCGCCCCCGCGGCCCGACGCCGCCTCCGCGCCAGAGTCGCCGCGGCCTCGCCAGCCGCTGCCGCCCGCGCTGCTCCCCTCCGCGGCCTCGACGCCGCCCCCGCGGCCCCGACGCCGCCTCCGCGCCAGAGTCGCCGCGGCCTCGCCAGCCGCTGCCGCCCGCGCTGCTCCCCACCGCGGCCTCAACGCCGCCTCCGCGCCAGCGTCGCCGCGGCCTCACCAGCCGGTGCCGCCCGCGCTGCTCCCCTCCGCGGCCTCGACGCCGCCCCCCGCGGCCCGACGCCGCCTCCGCGCCAGAGTCGCCGCGGCCTCGCCAGCCGCTGCCGCCCGCGCTGCTCCCCACCGCGGCCTCAACGCCGCCTCCGCGCCAGCGTCGCCGCGGCCTCACCAGCCAGTGCCGCCCGCGCTGCTCCCCTCCGCGGCCTCGACGCCGCCCCCCGCGGCCCCGACGCCGCCTCCGCGCCAGCGTCGCCGCGGCCTCGCCAGCCGCTGCCGCCCGCGCTGCTCCCCTCCGCGGCCTCGACGCCGCCTCCGCGCCAGCGCCACCACGGCCTCTCCAGCCGCCGCTGCCTGCGCCGCTCCCCTCCGCGGCCTCAACGCCGCTTCCGCGCCCGCCTCGCCGCGGCCTCACCAGCCGCTGCCGCCTGCGCCGCTCCCTCCCGCGGCCTCGACGCCGTCTCCGCGCCAGCGCCACTGCGGCCTCGCCAGCCGCCGCCGCCTGCGCTGCTCCCCTCCGCGGCCTCGACGCCGCTTCCGCGCCCGCCTCGCCGCGGCCTCGCCAGCCGCTGCCACCTGCGCCGCTCCCCTCCGCGGCCTCGACGCCGCCTCCGCGCCAGCATTGCCGCGGCCTCGCCAGCCGCTGCCGCTCGCGCCGCTCCCCTCCGCGGCCTCTACGCCGCCTCCACACCCGTTTCGCCGCGGCCTCGCCAGCCGCTACCACCCGCGCCACTCTCCCCCTCCCCGCGGCCTCGACACCGCTTTCGCGCCAGCACCGCCGCGGCCTCGCCAGCCACCGCCGCCTGCGCCGCTCCCCTCCGCGGCCTCGACGCCGCCTCCGCGCCAGCGCCGCCACGGCCCCCGCCAGCCGCTGCCGCCCGCGCCCCTCCCCTCCGCGGCCTCAACGCCGCCTCTCCCCCCGCCCTTCCATGACCGCTACGGGTCCACCCGCAGCCGTCCCTCATGGCTAACGCCACACCCTCCCCCTCCCCCCCCCCTCCTCCTATTGATACTTCCTCCATCGACAAACTACAGCTTGCCGCGGACAAATCCGCCGTCAACTGGCACTCATTCGTCGGCAGCATCCGACGCGTTCTCTCTGACGCGTGGGTCCCCCCTTACCGCGTCCTTGACGTCGTCCTCCGCCGTCCCCATGCCCTCCCCCCCACCGAGCCTGAACACCCAGGCCAGACCCCTCCTCTCCCTCCCTCCCCTGGCGATCCTCCTCTTGCACCCGACCTCCAGCTCACCGCCGATCAAGCCACCGCTGATGCAGACTTCGTCTTACGCCGCCGTGCATACCTTATCCGCAAAGCCGAGTACGATGCAGCAGTTGAGGCCTACGATCAGGCGGTTGCTGGCCGCATCGCTCACCTCGCTGTCGTCGCCAAATACAAAGACGACATGGCTGATTTCACCCCCAAACTTATTGCCTGGACAGCTGCTGACACCCGCGCCTGCACCGTTCTCCTTGGTGCTCTCCCTGACTCCCTCATGCGCCGCTTCCAGGCTTGGGGACTCCGTGCCTCGGTCATCTGGGCAGAACTCCATGCCATGTTTGAGCGCCGCGACATCAGCTCCGTCGGCATCCTCTTCCAAGAATACTTTTCCATCACCCTAGCTACCTGTGACGGAGCAGTCGACTATGTCGGACGCATGAGAGAGGTAGCTGATCGCCTCGAAGCCCGCCAGGCCGGCCTCTCCGAACCTCTTCAAATCCACCGCCTCCTCTTTAACCTCACCCCAGACTACGAATCCCGCCTTCATGCCTTTACCGAAGCCAATCCCATGGCCGGTCTCGCCTCCGTTGAACAGTGGATCATAGAATGATACCGAAGTCAAACTCCGCACCCCCATTGTCAACCTCGCCTCCTCCCAACCCTCCTCCTCCTCCCTCAACGCTACTCAGCCCCGCAAGCAGGGCAAGAACAACGGCAAGGGGGGTGGGGGCAAGGGGGGTGGTGGTCAAGGAAGCAGCAGCAGCCGTGGTGGCAACACCGGGGACGAGCATGGCACCACCAATTCGGGTGGAGCCTCTGCAAGCCGCGGAGGTCGCCCTGGCACCCTCCCCCCCTGCACCTATGTCCGCCGCTATGGTCCTCGGGCTGGAACTCCCTGCGGACAGACCAACCATCCCCCTGGCACGTGCTTCAAAACTCTCGATGATGCCTGGTACGCTCGGGGTAACGTTGGCACTCCTCCAAAGTGGGGTACGATCTCCCCATGTCCCTCCCCTGCCGACATCCAAACCAACCCCGCTTACCTCCCTGCCCACCTCCGCCTCCTTGCTCCCCCCACACCTTTCCTCAATCTCCAGCAGCAGCAGCAGCAGCAGCAGCAGCTGCAGCAGCTGTTTCAACAGCAGCCACGGCAGCAGCAGCAGCCGCAGCCGCAGCAGCACCCATGGGGATCGGGACTCCAGCCCCAGTGGGGACCTAGTCCTCCTCCCTGGCAGCAGCAGCAGCTGAATTTTGGCACTGCTGCAATAGCCGCTCAGGCCTCACCGGCCCCCCTTTGGGGTGCTCCACCCCCCCCCAGTAGCACTGCCGCCCCTCTCACCCAGGAAAGCTTTCTTGGCAACCTCGCTATTTCACCCTCTCTTCCTTCCATGTACCCATCCAACATTAATGAAACCACTTTCCAGTACTCAGTGTCTTCCTCCTCCTCCTCACCCACTCTGGACTTTGTCCTCGATAGTGGGGCCACTGAGACCGCTCTCAAGGATGCTGGTACACTCACACCCCTCTCTCCTCTTACTCAGGTCCATGGTGCTGACAGCAGCTTTACCATCCCATGCACACACCTTTCCACTCTCCCCTGTTCACTCTTCCCCTCTGGCAAGGTAACTGGTCTCCACATCCCCACTCTCCGAAACAACCTCCTCTCCCGTCGTGAAATCCAACGTGCAGGTATCACTGCCGTCTATCCTGGTAATGCCACCTACTGTGATCTTCACCACACTGCCTCCGGCCGCTTCCTCCTCCGCATACCCCTCTGCCCCCGCACTCGCCTCTACACTCTCCGCACTCCGTGGCCATCCTCCTGCCATGTCACCACCCGTGCGGGCACCTCCACCAGCCCTCCCCATCTTCCTCCCTACCCTCCCACTCCGCCATCTCCCCACTCCTCCATCCCGCCCTCACTCATTCCAATCCCCTCCACCTCCGACCACCTCTCTCACCCCGCTGTTCTACTACATCACCGACTCGGTCATCCCAATTTTGCCGCGCTCCGCACTGCCGTCACCTCACGGCTCCTTCACAGCCTCCCTCCCACTCTTCCTCCCCTTCCCTCCTCCCCAGCCCCCCCTTGCCCCTCCTGCATCAATGGCAAACTCAAACAATCTCCTCACCACAGCCACCCATCCTTTGCTCCTGCACCAATTGACCTTGTCCATATGGACCTCTGGGGACCTTCCCCCACCCGCTCACGTCAAGGCCATCGCTATATGCTGGTCCTTGTTGACGATCACAGTCGCTACTCTTCCGTTTTCCTCCTCCACACAAAAGCCCAGGCACCAACCATGATCATCAACTGGGCAGAGCAATGCCGCGCCCACTTCAAACGTCCCATCGGCCGCCTACATTCCGATGGGGGAGGCGAATTCCTCAATCGCACTCTCTCTCACTACTGCACCACCCATGGCATCCAACAGACCCATACCCTTCCCCACTCCCCACAGCAGAACGACGTCGCGGAAAGCCGCATTCGCGAAATCACAAAGATCGCCCGCTGTCTCCTCGCTCACGCCTCCACCCCTCCCTCTCTCTGGGGCTATGCCCTCCTCCATGCTGCCCTCCTCCTCAACCTTCACTCCCATCCTCTCCACACTACCACCACCCCCACGGAACTTTGGTCGGGCACCAAACCTGATGCCGCTGGTCTCCGTGTTTGGGGTTGCAAGGCATATGTGCTTATCCCTCCGTCTGATCGTACCCACGGCAAGCTCGCTTCTCGCGCCCTCGAGTGTGTCTACCTCGGACACAACCGCGACTCGCCTGGTTACCTCTTCCTTCACCCTCCCTCTGGTCGCCTCATCCGCAGCATTGACGTCGTCTTTGATGAAACTACCCCATATTACTCCTCTCCACCACCGGACCCCCTCCCTCCTCCCACACGTCCTCTCGCTTGGACCGACACCATCCCCCTCCCCTCCTCCCTCCAGCACCCCTTCTCCCACCCCTCCCTACTCCGCTTCCGCCACCTTCATCCGCCGACATCTACGATCCCGCTGCTCCCGCATCCCCCGCACACTCCGCGGCCCCCTCTCCCTCCTCCTCTTCCCCCTCTCCTTCCCATCCATCCCAGCAGCAGCCGCCGCAGCCGCAGGTGCAGCAGCAGCCGCAGCAGCAGCAGGGGCAGCAGCAGCAGCCGCAGCAGCAGCAGGGGCAGCAGCAGCAGCAGCCGCAGCAGCAGCCGCAGCAGCAGCAGGGGCAGCAGCAGCAGCCGCAGCAGCAGCAGCAGCAGCAGGGACAGCAGCAGCAGCAGCAGCAGCAACAACCGCAGCAGCAGCAGGGGCAGCAGCACCGGGAGGAGCACCAGCCGCAGCAGCAGCAGGGGTTTCAGCAGCACCAGCAGCAGCAGCGACATAGGGCAACTGCCCGCTCCTCACCCTTCCTCCTCCCCCACATGCACACCCGCTCCCTTGATCCTATCCTAGGCACACCGCCTCCTCCCTCTCTCAACCAACTGGAGGACTCCCATGAGGAGTTCACCATGGTTCAGCGTCACACTCCCTCTCTCACCACGCTCTACCCTGGCCTCCTCGGAGCTCTACTCCTTAGCGCGATCTCCGCTCCCACCATCTTCGTCCCCTCCACCTTCCAGGAAGCTATCACCTGCCCTGACGCCGATAAGTGGATAGCCGCCATCTTCCAGGAATGTGAAGCATTCATCCGCAACGACTCCTTCGTCGACGTCCCCCTCCCTCCTGACGCCAACCTAGTCGAGGGCAAGTGGATCTTCCGAGTCAAGCAGCTGCCGGGAGAAGAACCAGTCTACAAAGCCCGCTATGTTGCCAAGGGGTTCACCCAGACCTGGGCTGAGGACTACTGGTTCACATTTGCCCCCACAGTCAAGCAGGCCACCCTCCGCACCCTTCTTGATATTGGTGCGCGTGACAACATGGAGATTGACTCCATGGACGTCTCCAACGCGTTCCTGCAAGGCGAACTGCACGAGCGCATCTTCCTCCGCCGGCCTCCAGGATTTTATGCTGCCTTCCCCGACAACACCGTCTGGCAACTAAAGCGGCCGGTCTACAACTTGAAGCAGGCACCACGAGAATGGCATGCGAAGCTGTCTGCTACTCTCCAGTCCCTTGGCTTCTCCCCCTCCCACTCCGATGCCAGCCTCTTCATCCGCTCTTCCCCCAGTCGCTTCTTCATCTCGGTCTACGTTGACGACATGATCCTGCTCGCTGACACCAGGGCCGACATGGATCAGGTGAAGCAGTCACTTCAAGAACATCTCAAGTGCAAGGACCTTGGTCCGCTGCAGAACTACCTCGGCATGGCTATCACCCGCAATCGATCCGCCCGCACCATCACCCTCTCCCAGTCCCACTACATCGGCCAGGTCCTGGAGAAGTTCGAGATGGCGCAGGCCAAACCGGTCTCTACCCCTCTCCCCTTCGGTCACCAGCTTGCGCCACCCACCTCCCCCTCCACCTCCTCCCGGCCCTACGCCGAGCTTGTTGGGTCGCTGATGTACGCGATGATGTGCACTCGTCCCGACCTCGCCTACCCTGTCAGCGTCCTTGCTCGGTTCGTAGGCTCCGGCCGCCACACTGAGGACCACTGGGCTGCCGCCAAGCGGGTCCTCCGCTATCTCCGTGGCACCAAGGATCACGCTCTCACGTTGGGAGGATCTTCCCCTCCCCTTCTCTCTGGCTTCAGCGACTCCTCCTGGGCCGACTCTCAACCAGATCGCAGCTCCTCACAAGGCTATGGCTTCACGCTCAGCAGCGGGCTTATCAGCTGGCGTTCCACCCGCTCCTCCGCCATCGCCCTCTCATCATGCGAAGCTGAGCTCTATGCTGGCACCATGGCCGCCCAGGAGTCCCGCTGGCTCTGCTTTCTTCTGGCCGAGCTCGGTGCTCCCCAGCGCTGTCCCACACTCTGGTGTGACAACGCTAGCACCATCCATCTCACCCAGGACCCCGTCTTTCATAGTCGTTCCAAGCACATTGAGCTCCGCTATTTCTTCATCCGCGATCTCGTCCACCAGAATCTCATCGCCGTTCGCAAGATCGCTGCTGAAGCCAACCTGGCTGATATCTTTACCAAGGCACTTCTTCGCCCTGCGCACTCTGCTCTTCTCCGCCTCATCGGCCTCGCTCCCCCAGGCGCGCCTTGATTCAGGGGTTGCTTCTCTCAAGCCTTTCCGCATCTCTGCAGGTTAAGGGGTTGTGTTAGAATATCTCTCCTCTTGTAACCTGCATATATGCTATAGGATAGGCTCTAGTTAAGCACCCAAACTTAGTTTGGGTGTACAAGTCAGGGTAACCCAGTTTGTAGGTTGGAAACCCAACCTTGGTCCAATTATTGGACCCCAAAGGTTGGGTTGGGTAGAATTATTGGTCCCCTCCAATAATGTTGGCCCAACCCCAACTTGGCCAACATTATTGGACCCCACCAATAATTCCCCAACCCAACTTCTTGGTTGGGGTCCAATAATGCTCACCTAGGCTAGTATCCAACTCACTCCCTATGTATACCCCCATCTTTCTCAATCCAATCATCAACTTCATTCCTAACTCTTCTTCTCACAGCAGCAGGACGGGCATGACTATGATGGCATATCGTGATCGCGCTGTGTCAGCATAGTGACTTAATGGCGTGGTGGCTTAGAGCAGGTAGGTAGCACGATGATAGCAAGGCGTGGTGCCATGGTGATCGTGGCATGGCATGGCATGGCATGGCATGGCATGGTACGGGATCCAAAAGGGTGGAGAATGGACTCACCAGGGATGACAGAGAGGAAGCGGAATAGGAAAGCCAAGGCACCTGGGGGTGGTTGGAGAGGGTGGAGAGGAGAAGGGGTGGAGAGGAGAAGGGGTGGAGAGGAGAAGGGGTCGGGACTGGAAGCAGGGAGGGCTGTTGAATCCCTGCTTTTGAATCGTCAAGCAGGCAAGAACAGGTGAATGTAAACCTTCACCTCCACGACCCCACCAACCCCTCCACTAAAACTCCTCCCATGCCCACAGCAGCTCCCCTCCCCTCACCGATGATCTGCAGGGGCCCACTCCACACGATGTGCAGATAGATGCACAGTTTCGCCAGCTTCTCCGCATCGTTGCTCTGCAGATTCACCTGCTCAGGTGGAATCAACAGAAGCGAGTTGCAACACGAGACAGGGCTTGAGATGAGAGCAGTATCGCGGGGTCCCTGCAGGTCAACAGGTCAACAACACCATTGACCACTGCGCTATGGGAAAGAGACTCGGTTTGAGTGTGAGATGGAGATGTGAGAGAGCAGAGAGTGGAGAAGGACAGAGATAGGGCTAGAGCATGTCACAAAACAAACGTGTTACTTGGTGCCCGATGGCTCGCTGCTATGGGCGGGTGTGAGGGGGAGGGTACAAAACGTACAATCTCCCCGAGGCTGGTGGAGTGGCGCGCTGCAGAGGAGATGCGCAGCGCCTTGCAGTAGATCAGCGCCACCAGCGCCGTGCGCACCTGGTGGCACCGCGCCGGGCGAGGAGTGGGGAAGGGGGAGCGGGAGAGATGGGCATGCATGGGAGCATCTGGGGATGTGGCATGTGAGGGCCAAGGTGAGACGGGGTGGGGCGAGGCACACACATGGGAGGAGGCACACACATGGGAGGAGGCACACACATGGGAGGAGGCACACACATGGGAGGAGGCACACACATGGGAGGAGGCACACACATGGGAGGAGGCACACACATGGGAGGAGGCACACACATGGGAGGAGGCACACACATGGGAGGAGGCACACACATGGGAGGAGGCACACACATGGGAGGAGGCACACACATGGGAGGAGGCACACACATGGGAGGAGGCACACACATGGGAGGAGGCACACACATGGGAGGAGGCACGCACATGGGAGGAGGCACACACATGGGAGGAGGCACACACATGGGAGGAGGCACACACATGGGAGGAGGCACACACATGGGAGGAGGCACACACATGGGAGGAGAGGCGCATACATGGGAGGAGAGGCGGTAAAGGCGGTGGAAGTACTGATGGGCGATGAGTGACTGGCCCATGTTGCACGCCAACAGCACCCCCGCTAGCAGCAGCCCCGGCAGCCACGCTGGTAGCGAGGCGGCCACTAACGAGGATAAGTGCGAGGAGGCAGAAAATGGGAGTGGGTGAGTTGAGGAGTGTGTGAGGGGGGGCGTGAAGCCAACAGTGGTGTTGGCCATTGGGCTCTGGGTGTGGGGGGGCGCTTGAAGTTGAGGGACGAAAGATACGAGAGGGAGGAAGATCCAAGCAAGGAGTTGCGGTGCTGAGGTGAGAGTGGAGAGTGGGGAAGTGAAGGGGATAAGTGGGTGGGTGGAGGGGGCGGAGACTAGCGAGCGGTGGAGGGACGGTGTGAGGGTGGAGGCAAAGGGGAGTGAGGAGTTGGGGAGGACTAACGAGGGACCAAGGAAGCTGTCAGCTGAGCTGCTGTCTGCTGTGTGAGGAGGCGCTGTGCTGACGTGGAATGACGTCATGCTGAGGTGGAGGATGATCTGCTGCAGCAGCAGCGGCGAGGCGAGCTGCAGCAGGTCGTGAATGAGCTTCAGCGCGCCCGCTGCCATGAAGGGCCGCACGAACGTGCTCACCAACGCACGGGGCAGAGAGGGACGCCTGGGGCAGGGGGGGAGGGGAGAGGGGAGAGATGGCGGGTAGTGGGAGAGTGGGAGGGGAGATGGAAAGAAGGGGAGAAAGGGGGGAGGGGGAAAGCGGAAAGATGCAGTGTTGAGGGGCAGAGAGTGGCGAGGCGAGGAGCAGGTGGGAGCGGAGGAGATTCAGAGCGCCCGCTGTTATGAAGGTGAGCGCGAATGCGGTCACTAGCGCGCAGGCCAGAGGGGGACGCCTGGGAGCAGTCACGTGAGGGAGAGAGGGGACAGGGGGTGCGGAGGAGAGAGGGAGATGGGGAGAAAGGGTGGGGAAAGGGAAAAAAGGTCATCCCAGGAGCGCAATGGGTGAGGCGGGAAACAGAACAGGTGGGCGCGCAGGAGTTTCAGCCCGAGTGCCCAGTGCTGCGCGCATGGAGGCATGGCGCAGAGACACGGGCCACCAGGGGTGACCGGCGAGGCGAGAGGGTGAGGGGGCGGCAAGGCAAGCTTAGTGACGAAAGCACGATGCATATACACTCAGTATGAAAATGATATACACACACATATCATGCACGTACATGAAAATATACATACATACAACTCTGGTGGAGCACCTGCGGGTGGCGGTGGTCTCAGCCTGCCACGCGGCCCTGAGCGCGGGCGCGACGGCAGCGGTGGAGTCGCGCGGGCAGAGGGGCGGCAGGTCGGACGCGTGCAGCACCTTGGCGTTGCCCAGGCGGATGAGCGGCCCCACCCACGCGAACGTCAGCCGCGACCACAGCGACGCCTCGTCCTCTGGCGATGGCTGCGGGGAGAGAGGGGATGGCAGGGGAAGGAGGAGGACAAGAACGTGAGGCGGATGAGCGGATGAGCGGCCCGACCCGCGCGAACGTGAGGCGCGGCCACAGCGACGCTTTGTCCTCCAGCGATGGCTGCTGGGAGGAAGGAGGGTTGGGACGCAGGGGAGGGGAGAGAAGGGGGGGTAAGAGGAGTTGGGAGTGTAGGACGGGGGCCGAATGGCAGGTGAGCTGTGACTCTTGGGAAAACGGGGGCGGTTGAAGGGTACTGCTGCCTCAATTGCTGCTCACGGCTGTGGCTGCTGCCTGCTGGCTGGATAGGCGGTGATTGGCGCGGAATCAAAGAGGTCGCCGCCTGCCCTGTTCCGCCGCTCTTCCCGATTCGGCTGCCTTACCCCTGAGATGCCATCGCGGCCGTCCGTCGCGGCCGCCATCGCGAATCAACCTCCTGCCACCAGCTGCTTTCGACGATCCACAATTCGACTCGCAAAGCCGACAACTATCGCTTCCTGACGCGCGAATCGCGCTCCCGAGTCGCGGTTGCGATCGTCACGGCCGCTGATCGATCTTTCGCGCGGCGGACGCGACCACGAGCTAAAGTTCTTCGAGTAGTTAAACTGCTGACTACATGATCGCCGACAGTACCGAAAATCTCGCTAATGAGCCAACGCCAGTGTGTGTCGAACATGTATGGTGAGGGAAGGGCGCATTCACCTCCCACCCACACGATCGTGTGGTGTCGGTGCGGACACGTGTGGGTTGCTGCTGAAGACGAACCCACCCACGTTTAAAGCGGCGGTATACATTTGGCAGGGCCTGTGCCAAAAGTTTATAAAAGGTACTTGGTGGTGACCGAGTTACAAGCCCACTCAACTTCTGTCACGACACGAGCGACGGTTCCCAAGTGTTCCCAACTCCTCTCACAAGCCGAGGCCACTCAATTGTCGAAAGTTTATACATGCCAAAAGTATACTGAAGGAGTTGCCTCCTCGCACTAGCCCCAAGCATTCTCGCCGTGAACAATTATGAAAACTAGCTACCGGGGGCAATATTTGTCATTACGATCAAGCTTGATCTTACGCTTAGGTCATACGTCGTCCATACCATGGCTTAGGTTTTGCATCGCCTCGTAAGACTTCGCGTCGTAGACTCGCCTCAACGCCCGTCGCGGCGTCACCTCTCGGCAAATCCGCTCCCGGCGTCGCCTTGCTGCAAATACGCACGCGACGTCGCCTCGCCGCTAATACGCACGCGGCGTCGCCTCGCCTCAAATACGCACGCGGCGTCGCCTCGCCGCAAATACGCACGCGGCGTCGCCTCGCCGCAAATACGCACGCGGCGTCCCCTCGCCGCAAATACGCAGCGGCGTCGCCTCGTCGCAAATCCGCTCGCAGCGTTGACTCGTCGCAACACGATGCCTCCTCACGCCACCGCGATCACGCTGGCCGCGCCACACGCTGCGGCCCTCGTGCTCCTCCCAATAAACCCTTTTCGCTGCCCCCCTTTACCGCCTCCCGATCTCCCTTTACCGCCTCCCGATCTCCCTTCCCGTCGCCCCATTTCCGTTCTCGCCGCCCGATTCCCCTTTCCGCCGCCCCTTTGACCTTCCCGCCGCCGAATTCCCCTTCCCACCGCCCAATTCCCCTTTTTCTCCGCCCAAAGAACCCATTCCTGCCGCCCCATTCTCCCCTTCCCGCCTCTCATTCAACTCCTCCCGCCTCCCTTTCCCCCATTCCCGCATCCCGTTCCCCCCTTCCCGCCTCCCATTCTCCCCTTCTTGCCTCCCATTCTCCCCTTCTTGCCTCCCATTCTCCCCTTCCTGCCTCCCTTCTTTCCCTTATCTCCCATCCCTCCCTTCCCTCCCTTTCCGCCCTTCTCTCCCTTCCCTCCCTTCTCCCCCGTCCCTCCCTTCTCCCCCGTCCCTCCCTTCTCTCCCTTCCCTCCCTTCTCTCCCTTCCCTCCCTTCTCTCCCTTCCCTCCCTTCTCTCCCTTCCCTCCCTTCTCTCCCTTCCCTCCCTTCTCTCCCTTCCCTCCCTTCTCCCCCGTCCCTCCCTTCTCCCCCGTCCCTCCCTTCTCTCCCTTCCCTCCCTTCTCTCCCTTCCCTCCCTTCTCTCCCTTCCCTCCCTTCTCTCCCTTCCCTCCCTTCTCTCCCTTCCCTCCCTTCTCTCCCTTCCCTCCCTTCTCCCCCGTCCCTCCCTTCTACCCCGTCCCTCCCTTCTCTCCCTCCCTCCCTTTTCTCCCTTCCCTCCTTTCTCTCCTCTCCCTTCCCTCCCTTCTCTCTCTTCCCTCCCTTTTCTCCCTTTCCTCCCTTCTCTCCCTTCACTCACTTCTCTCCCTTCACTCACTTCTCTCCCTTCCCTCACTTCTCTCCCTTCCCTCCCTTCTCTCCCTTCCCTCCCTTTTCTCCCTCCTTTCTTCTCTTCCGCGCGTGCATTCCCATTGTCCCCTGCCTGCCTCACAATCTATCCTTCCAGCCTCGCCCTTGTCGTCCTGCCTGTCATTCCATCTCCCCTCCCTGCATACCCCTCTCTTCCTGTCCTCCCTTCTCTGCGCCTCTCCCCCTCACTGTGCCCCCTGCTATACTATTCCCTCTTGTTACCTTTCCTGCCACCCCTCCGAAGCTGAAAGCGATCTCAAAGTGCTTTTCCTCACATGCCTTCCAAAGCCGCCTCCTCCCCCTGAGTCCCCTCCTCCCCCTCGACCTGATTCCTCTCGACTTCTTCCTGATTCCCCTCATTTTCTTCCTGATTCCCCTCATTTTCGTCCTAATTCTCCTCATTTTCTTCCTGATTCCCCTCATTTTCGTTCTGATTCCCCTCATTTTCGTCCTGATTCTCCTCATTTTCTTCCTGATTCCCCTCATTTTCTTTCCTGATTCCCCTCATTTTCTTCCTGATTCCCCTCATTTTCTTCCTGATTCCCCTCATTTTCTTCCTGATTCCCCTCATTTTCTTCCTGATTCCCCTCATTTTCTTCCTGATTCCCCTCATTTTCTTCCTGATTCCCCTCATTTTCTCCCTGGTTCCCCTCATTTTCACCCTGACTCCCCTCTTCTTCATCCTAATTCCCATCATTTTCTCCATGATTCCTCTCATCACAGCTTGTGGTTGAACCATTACCCTTATTTCCTGCCCTCGGATTCTTTCCCTTTCCCTGACTATTTCAGTGACTGACTGCTCTGAAGATTTCAAGCTTCAACATGCCTCACCCAATCATCTCATGTCTACCGCAGCTAATATTTGTTGCCAAAGGCATAGAGAAAGGGTCAATAGTACGGTACCTTGCTTGCTCCTCTTGGCCTTTGCCTATAGTCTAAAGTTATGTGAGAACATGTTTCTTTCTACCTGTAAGGGATGTGACACCTGTCCATGCATTGCACTGCTGAATCATGGTAGTACATAGTAAGCTTCATGACACATCTTTCTAGGAATAACTCACTACCATACTTGCATCACAATGCACACGAGACAGAACATAAGTGGTGACAAACCATCCACTAGCTACGCCTCTGCTTGTAATTGCTGCCCTCTGTATCAACACAGCCAATTAGCAGAGTAGGCAAAAACGAACCAGTAATGCTCCAGGGAAGGTGCTGTGAGGCAGAAGAGAAGCAACAAAGGAATTCAAGCACGTGATGGCACTACATGCACAGGAACTAGATTGTAGACAGTGACGAGTAAGTGAGGGGGGTGGGGAGGGCATGCAAGGGAAGGGAAGGGAGAAGGGATGGGAAAGGGAAGGGAACCCCAACCGGACCACGAACTCGTCGCGGTGTAACGCACTGCTTCACACGCACTCGCAACAGCGCAGTAGTGCTGGCCACCAGGCCACGACACGGGAGGGAAGATGCGAAGGCAGGGAGAGCGGTGATGGGAAGGGAGGGATGGGAGATTGGAAGGCAGGGTTGCGTGTGAAAAGATGAGAGCAAGTGGGAGGAGCAGAAAGACAGGTAAGTTGTGGGGCAATGGTGGGAGAGGAGGGTTGACGGTTGAAACTCGGCTCTGTCTGCGAGCAAGGGAGTGTGGGTGCACGGCAGCAGTTTGTGTGTGCATAGGTGTGCACAGCAGCACAGTAGCGCCATAACACCCACCTGAACAATCAGGTCTCGAGTGGGCAACACAACGACCGCTCTGACTTGTCGCACCACGTGCCGCACCAGGGCCTGCATCACTGGCTGCACATACGCCAGCGTCTACTGGGAAGGGGGAAATGACCGTATTACCCACCTAGGCATCCAGGTCTCTGGCGGGCAGCACTATCACCGCCCGCACCACACGCCCTGCTAGTGACTGCACCAATGGCAGTGCATACGATAGGGTAGCAGGGGGAAAACAAACCAGAAAGGAGGGGAGAAACAGAGTATAAGCTGGAGGGGAAGGAACATGGGGGAGGAGGGCTAGCACGGGTGAAAGGAAATGGTAAGCAAAGGTGGACTCTAATGAAGAGCAGGGGGGGAATTAGGAAAAGGAGGGTGGAAAAATAGAGGAAGCAAAACGGAAAAATGATGAGAAGCAAGGGAGCGAAGGCGGGACAGAGAGGAAGAGGGGAAGTGCGGAAGAGAGGAAGGGGGCAAGGGAGGAGATTGGTCGAGGTAGGGAACAGGGGGCTAGAAGAAGATTGGATGAGAGAGGAGATGGAAGGGAGGAGAAATGACGAGGAGGAGAGAAAAGGGAGGAGGTTGGACGGGGGAGGAGAGGGAAGGGAGGAAAATGGACGAGTGAGGGAAGAAAATGGATACGGAAGGAGAGTGAAGGGAGGGGATGGAGAGGAAAAGGGGCAAGCAGAAGGGGGAAGTGAGGGAGGGAAAGGAGGGGATGCTGTGGGGGGGAGGACAGGAGGGGATGCAGGGAGGGGAAGGAGGGGATGCAGGGGGGGAAATGAGGGGATGCTGTGGGGGGGGGGGACAGGAGGGGATGCAGGGAGGGAAAGGAGGGGAAGCAGGGAGGGAAAGGAGGGGATGCGTGGGGGGAAAGGAGGGGAAGCAGGGGCGGAAATGAGGGGATGCGTGGGGGGAAAGGAGGGGAAGCAGGGGCGGAAATGAGGGGATGCGTGGGGGGAAAGGAGGGGAAGCAGGGGCGGAAATGAGGGGATGCGTGGGGGGAAAGGAGGGGAAGCAGGGGCGGAAATGAGGGGATGCGTGGGGGGAAAGGAGGGGAAGCAGGGGCGGAAATGAGGGGATGCGTGGGGGGAAAGGAGGGGAAGCAGGGGCGGAAATGAGGGGATGCGTGGGGGGAAAGGAGGGGAAGCAGGGGCGGAAATGAGGGGATGCGTGGGGGGAAAGGAGGGGAAGCAGGGGCGGAAATGAGGGGATGCGTGGGGGGAAAGGAGGGGAAGCAGGGGCGGAAATGAGGGGATGCGTGGGGGGAAAGGAGGGGAAGCAGGGGCGGAAATGAGGGGATGCGTGGGGGGAAAGGAGGGGAAGCAGGGGCGGAAATGAGGGGATGCGTGGGGGGAAAGGAGGGGAAGCAGGGGCGGAAATGAGGGGATGCGTGGGGGGAAAGGAGGGGAAGCAGGGGCGGAAATGAGGGGATGCGTGAAGGGAAAGGAGGGGAAGCAGGGACGGAAATGAGGGGATGCGTAGGGGGAAAGGAGGGGAAGCAGGGGCGGAAATGAGGGGATGCGTGGGGGGAAAGGAGGGGAAGCAGGGGCGGAAATGAGGGGATGCGTGGGGGGAAAGGAGGGGAAGCAGGGGCGGAAATGAGGGGATGCGTGGGGGGAAAGGAGGGGAAGCAGGGGCGGAAATGAGGGGATGCGTGGGGGGAAAGGAGGGGAAGCAGGGGCGGAAATGAGGGGATACGTAGGGGGAAAGGAGGGGAAGCAGGGGCGGAAATGAGGGGATGCGTGGGGGGAAAGGAGGGGAAGCAGGGGCGGAAATGAGGGGATGCGTGGGGGGAAAGGAGGGGAAGCAGGGGCGGAAATGAGGGGATGCGTGGGGGGAAAGGAGGGGAAGCAGGGGCGGAAATGAGGGGATGCGTGGGGGGAAAGGAGGGGAAGCAGGGGCGGAAATGAGGGGATGCGTGGGGGGAAAGGAGGGGAAGCAGGGGCGGAAATGAGGGGATGCGTGGGGGGAAAGGAGGGGAAGCAGGGGCGGAAATGAGGGGATGCGTGGGGGGAAAGGAGGGGAAGCAGGGGCGGAAATGAGGGGATGCGTGGGGGGAAAGGAGGGGAAGCAGGGGCGGAAATGAGGGGATGCGTGGGGGGAAAGGAGGGGAAGCAGGGGCGGAAATGAGGGGATGCGTGGGGGGAAAGGAGGGGAAGCAGGGGCGGAAATGAGGGGATGCGTGGGGGGAAAGGAGGGGAAGCAGGGGCGGAAATGAGGGGATGCGTGGGGGGAAAGGAGGGGAAGCAGGGGCGGAAATGAGGGGATGCGTGGGGGGAAAGGAGGGGAAGCAGGGGCGGAAATGAGGGGATGAGTGGTAGGAAAGGAGGGGAAGCAGGGGCGGAAATGAGGGGATGCGTGGGGGGAAAGGAGGGGAAGCAGGGGCGGAAATGAGGGGATGCGTGGGGGGAAAGGAGGGGAAGCAGGGGCGGAAATGAGGGGATGCGTGGGGGGAAAGGAGGGGAAGCAGGGGCGGAAATGAGGGGATTCCTGGGGGTAAATCCGTGAGGCGAGCAGCGCGTTACTGGTGGCTGCAGTAGGATGGCTGGCTCGCGCGCGCTTCTGGACTGAATTTCGATGGAGCGCGCGTGCTTGCAACCGCGTGCTGTTTGCTGGGCATCTAAGCGTCACATGCGCTCGCTGTGCTGGCGCGCCGCGCGGTATGCAGGCCTAAAGCGTATTTTTTTGCGGCGCGCGTCTTGCTGGCAAGCTTCGCTCTGCTGAGCGCGCTATGCTAGCGCGCGGACGGAATGCCAGCATAGCGCGCGCAAGTGCCGCGCGCGAATGCCAACACAGCGCGCTAAAGTGTTGCGCGCGGAATGATAGCGTAACTGGCGCAAGTCCCGCTCACGGAATGCCATCATAGCTGGCGCCAGTGACGCGCGCGGAATGACACGACGCACACGGAGTGCCACCATCGCTGGCGCTAGTGACGCTCGCAGGCGTCGCCTGTTCTGCAAATGGCTAAATACTCACCCGCGTCTATGTATGTGGTCGCGCTGCTGGCCTAGCACCCTCCGGCCTGCTGTACCTAAACTAGTAGCTACTAGATGCGTATTCTCCGTAGTGTGATGTAGAAGGCAAGTTCGGTGACGGGAGTTTTTTCCCATTTTGTGACCCACAACCTACCCAACCATGTTCCCCTTACAACTGAAGCGCTCCAGTTTTTCGCCAACACTCTCGCTATTCTGTTTACATTTTCGTTGAGGCGAAATCGCCTGGCACACTGTGCAGAAACAACAGTGCTGCCAAATGTATACTCCTGCTTTAAGGTACTCGCGAAATAGCTATAACTCTGCAGTACAGAGGAGTTATCTGATATCGGAATCCAATTCGCCGGGCATGTCTGTTTTCACAACCTATACAACGGGAGATAGGAAAACAAAACTCATTTAACAGCTCAACTGTTTTCAAACACTGCTTGACAATGGCTGGAATAATTTGGTTCTCCGAACATAAAAAATATTATACATTTTATATCCCAACCTTGACATGTACTTAAGGTTTCTACGCACCCACTATCGAGTATGTGCCATTCGCATTGATCTCAATGCTGTGCAGACACAGCCCCGCTGTCACGCCTGTCACTCGTCAATTCACATTCTCGCATTGCTCGCCGTCGCAATTCGTCGCAGACTCGCTCGCAGGCCATCTCGAACTTCGTCGTCCAGTCGAGTTTCACTCGCTGCATCAGATGGCGCGCGCCGATAACTCGTCTCGCTACCGCGACAAGGCGCCAGCACACACGACCCAGGATTTCTCACTCCTCTGCGGTCGCACGTGTTGTCACGATCTCGTCTCGAATGTCGCTCCCGTGTCGCACGTCGCAAGTCGCATGTCGCCAGGGCGGCCTCGATCCAACACGCTCTCTCGCGTCGTCCCATCTCGCACATCTCGAATGGGTTTTCGCAAATCTTCCGCCGTCCATTCATCAACTCATTACTCACCAGCGCTGATCTCCGCCGTCGCCCGCCAGTCGCACCCTTCAGTGGGGCCCACTCCCCTCCGCCTGTCAGCGCGCGGAAAAATGCCGCGTCAGTGCGGGCTCGCGACGATGCCGCGATGCATCGCTGCGGGGACAAGCTTGTTGCTGGCGGGGGGTGACTGTAGCTGTGCTCATGGCACAAGCGCAGAGAAACACGCATGGAGGGTGAGAGGGGGAGGGGTAGTGCGCTTGCCTTCCGACGCACACTACCTTGGCCGAGTGGCAGCCTGCTTGCGTGGGGATGACTCTCGAGTGTTACACACCTCCAACCTCATGCGGTGAAGCACGGGTACACACGCTCACTGGGGGGGGGGGGGGATGGGAGGTGCGAGATGCGACATCCGAGATACGACGCGCTACTACCGGCGGAGTGGCACCTCACTAGCGCGCCCATTGCGCCCATTGCTCTGATTGCCTTGATTGCGCTGATTCATCCGATCCCATTGATTGCGCAAATTCCGCTACTGGCGCCACGCATATGAGTGACGGGACTTTAATCTCCATCCATGTCGCCGCGCCCAGCTCGTCTTCATCAGGAAATCACGCCCGCATCCCCTTGTAGTAGTAGCTCCGCCTCCGCCACTCCCCCCGCCTCCGCCGAGCCCAGCAGCGCGCCCAAGCTGCCCTCCACCCTCCCCGCTTACCTCCGCGCAGGGCGCAGAGACGGCGCAAAAGGAGGGGGAGGAGGCACGCGGGCGGACGGGATTCTGAGAGGGCTGGGGGATGAGGGGGGACATGGACGGGCAGGGGGAGGGGTGAGCGGAGATAGAATGGAGCGCAGATGGGGGGATGAGGGTGATACGGGGAACGAGGGGGGTAAGCGGATGGGGGGAGAAGGCACGGTGGTAGTGGACGTGGGGGGCGAGGGGGAGGGGGAGGGGGAGGGGGAGGGGGGAGGGTGAGGGGCACGAGGGGGAGGGGCACGAGGGGCATACGGGGCATGAGGAGCAAGAAGAATTGAGATACATTCAGAGGACTTCCAACCAACCGCACGGCGCCAGCTGGCTGTTCCATGACGTCATAACCGCCCTGCGATCCTCCGCCGTGTTCCAACTGCCAGCAATCACCACCCCCAACAGCACCAGCAGCAGCAGCACCAACGAGCTCGACCCCCCGTTTCCAGTCCCTGAGATACCACCTCCCCCAGGCGCCGCCTGCGTGGGCGGGTGTGGCATCAGCAACCAGGCAGTGCTCGCCGTGCTCCCTGCAGCGCTGCACTCACTGCTGCACTGCATGGCCGTGGGGCAGCTGCTGGCGCTGCTCACCCGCCACACCTTCGCCCCCCGCCACGCCCTCCTCTCCACCGCTCTCTCAGAGGCCCTCTTTTCCCTCCTCTCCGCCCTGCCTGCCACCGCCCCCGCCCCCAGCCCCCTGGGAGCGGCGCTCATGGGCGGGCTGTGGCGGGTGAGTGGCGCGCTGGGGGTGCCCTTCCTGCCCTGGGCGGGGTGGGTGGGGCTCTGGGCGGCTGTCTGCCTGCTGCTCGCCGCGGGGGGGAATGCGTGCCGGGCTGCGGACCAATGGGGTGCTGCCACGTGGCGGGTGGAAGGTGTGGTGACGAGCGGGGTGCTGTTTGTGGGTGCGGTGCAAATGGGTGCGGAGGGTTTCAGGCAGGTGGCGGGGGTGGAGGGAGGGGAGGCGGTGGCGTTTGCGACGGTGTGTGTGGCGGCGGCGGGGGTCATCATTGCACTGTGGCTTAGCAGAGCTGCCACGTGGCATGTTCTGAGTGGCTACATCCGTGGTTCGCTTGCCCACTATGCTCTGATTCTGGCCTTCCTCGCCTCTGCAGGCATGTACTCTCCCACCACTTCAAATGCTCTCTCTCACACTCTCCTATGCTCCATCCATCACTCATGCTCGCTCTCTCATGCTCGCTCTCTCATGCTCGCTCTCTCATGCTCGCTCTCCCATGCTCGCTCTCCCATGCTCGCTCTCCCACTCGCGCCAGTGCTCTCGCCGGAGGGAGCATGGGGCATGCACGGTCTGGGCCCGATCCGATATATGCACTACTGCCCCCACGCCTGCCCAACAGGGTCAGCCCAAACCAAAGGCGGGCGGCAGGCCCCTTGGGGGAGACCCAGCCTGTTCTGGCATGTTCGTTGGCATGAAACTTGGCCAGCAAAGTGCAATGCTGGGTCGGGGGCATGAGGGTGCATGTTCCCCTCCGTGCATGTTCAACGTACGTCACTACTTCCCTTCACTCCTTTCTTTCCCCTCCTCTCCTTTCCCCCCTCCCCCGTCTTCCTCATCTTCCCTCCGTCCCCCACCTCCCTCCAGTGCTCCTAGCGGTGCCCCCCTTCCTCCATCTCCCTCCGCTCCTCTCCTACCAGCTGCCTCTGCAGTCCGCCCCGCCCCTCATCCCGCCCATCCCGTGGGGCGCCCACCTGGGGGGCGTGTCAGTGGGGGCGGCCCTGGCAGCTGCACTGCCGGGAGCGCTGCTGGCGGCGCTGCTCTTCCACGCACACAACACAGCAGCGCTGCAGCATGAGGTGCGTGCTGATGTGTCTGAGGGGGCAGCGCTGGTTGCTCTTCCACGCACACAACACAGCAGCGCTGCAGCATGAGGTGCATGCTGATGTGTCTGTGGGGGCAGCGCTGGTTGCTCTTCCACGCACACAACACAGCAGCATTTCGTCAGGATTGTCGTTCATTCTGCCTCTTTCCACATACCTGCTATTCCATTCGCTCCACTCTCCTTTTCCTCCTTCCATCACCATCTCTTTTTATCGCATTCCTCCCTCCCACCCTCTGCCCTCGCTTCCTTCTCAACGCTCCTCTCTCAAGTTCCCTCCCCTTACTGTCTCCTTTCCAACACTCTTCCTCTTTCCGTCTACCGCCCATCACCGCACCCCACACTCTCCAACACCTCAGGCGCAGCTGCATGCTGCTGCGGGGTGTGGGCAGCGCGTGATGGCTGAGCAGGCTTGGCGAGCAGAACGTGCGAGGAGGGTGCGGAGGGGAGCAGGGGTGAAGGCGTGGGGAGGGAGGAGTGGAGAGGCGGAGAGGGCAGGGGACGTGGAGTGGGGTATGGGCGGGGGGGGACTAGCAGGAGGCACGGGAGGAGGGCATGAGCATGAGCACGGTGGGGGAAGGGTTGACGAGGTGGTGGGCGGCAATGATGGGCGGGGGTTTGGTGGAGGTGAAGGGGAGGACGAGGAGGCTGAAGAGGACGGGAGGATGGATGCACGAGAGGGGGGTGCAGCAGGGACAGTGGGAATGGCAGCGAGCTGTGAGGGAGGGTGTGAGGGAGGGTGTGAGAGAGTGAGTGTGAGGGAGTGGGACCTGTGTGTGACTGCCGTGGTGGTGGCTCTGTGTCTCCTGCTCGGCCTCCCTCCTCCCATCCGCATTCCATATCTGGTAACTATGGCCTCTGCACCCTTCCATTTCCATGCGCCCCATTTGTGTGCCACGTCCCGCCACCACCCACTTTGAGTTTCCTCTGCCTTTATTCTCCACAAGGCTCGGCCCTGTTCTTCCTGGAGTCTCCAAAACGCTTCCACTTCACGGCCACCCACCCACCCATGGCACACGGCTGCCGTCACACATTGCACACCGGCACTCATCCACTCCCATCTTGCTGCCCCCCCCCCCCTCTTCCCCCTCCCCCCCCCTTGGTGTGCTGTTCTTTCCCTGCAGAGCACCATCCGCCTCTCATACCTGCTCAACCATGCACTGCCCACTGCACCCGCCACACCTGCCACAGTCACAACCGCCACTCAACGCCGCACCACGGGCCCTCATGTAGCCCGCCCACGCAAGCAGTCCTCCCGCCATGCCAGCAGCAGCGTGAGGTGTGGATCCAACTCCATGCTGCTGCCTCTCATGCCACTCATGCCGCTCACTGCTGCCAGCCAGGGGAACTCCTCCGTGCCACCCACTCGTGCTCCCCCCCCCCCACGCCATCCCCCTGCCCCCCTGGCGGCGCTGGTGTGCGAGTGGCGCACTGTAGGGGGGTTGCTGGCGGCTGTGCTGGCGCTGCTCGCCCTGCCCGCCACGCCTGCTCGCTTCCTCACCCTCGTGCCCGCCGCCCCTCTCATCGGCACTTGCATGGCGGTGAGTGCGTCGATGGCATGGAAATCCTGGGTCATTCTCTTGCCTGTGCTCTTCGTATTGGCTCGTGCCTCTGTCTCATTGGCACGTGCATGGCTGAAAGGGTTGTAGATGAGATGGATGTACACTACAGTCACCCTTCCTCGTGCATCACTGTGAGTGCTGCTCGTTTGCGCTTGCATCGGGGGCATGAGAGAGAGAGGTATGCGTACGTGTATTGCCATGAAAAGGCAGAAATAAAGGCAGGATTGCCATCAGGCCCCTAATTTTCTGCCGCCTTCATATTCGTCTCCTTAGCGTGCAAATTTCTTGCGCATGCACGTGTTTCCATACCAACCACCTCCCCTCCTTTGTGTGCTTATGGCGCTGTTTTAGCGCTATGGATTTCCACTTGCCATATCACAGTATCCCCTCCCTTTCCCTCCCGCTGGGCCCCACACCCACTGCTCTCCCACCGGCAGATGGCCATCCTCCTCTTTCCCCCCTCGCTCCACCTCCACCTCCTCCTCTCCCTCGCCCATCCCTCCCGTCGCCCTTCACTCCCCCCTCTCCCCCCCTCCGCCCTCCCCTTCCTTCGCCGCCTAACCTCCTTAGAATGCTTCTCCGCCTGCCTGATTCTCGGGTGGTCCTACCTGCCCTTCCTCGCCGCCTCCTTCCCCCTCCCCCTGCTCCTCCTCGCCCTCCTCATGACCTCACTCCTCCGTCACCTGCTTCCCCCGCCCCTCTGCTCGCGCCTCTCGCCTCCCCTGCTTCCCTGTGCCGCTGCTCGCCACGCCCGCACCAGCAGCAGCAGCAGCGGCAGCAATGGTACCCCAAGCATTATCCTCACCAGCAGCGGCAGCAGTAGCAGTAGCAGAAGCAGCGGCAGTAGAGGCAGCAGCAGTAGAGGCACAGACTGCCTGGCAGCATCTTTCACCATACCTGCGAGCGAAGCAGGTGGGGATGGAGGGCGTGGTGGTGGGGGTGGGAGAGCAGGGTGGAAGGCAGGGCAAGCAGAGCAGCGCATGAGCAGGGGGGAAGAGGAGCGGAGAGGCAGCAGGAATAGGGAGGGGCGGAGTGAGGCGGAGGGAGGGAGTGAGGTGGGTGGTGATGGGGGCGAGGGACGAAGGGGTGTGAAGCGACGAGCGGTGGGCGGGGGTCAAGAGTGTGAGGTGGAGAGAAGGAGACATGGGCACGTGCATTCAGATAGGCTTGTGGAAGAGAGTGCTGATGTGCATGGGCTTCAGAGCATGGAATCGCATAGTCCTCAGGCCACGCATGTGGGTATGACGTCAGGGCTGGCATCAGCATGGCATGACATCTCGTCCGACGACCCATGCTCCCCCCTACACCACTCTGCACCTCCTTTGTACCACTCTGCACCTCCTGTGCAACTCTCTGCACATCGTGCACCCTGGAAGTGGCAGCAAGGGAGTGGTGGGCTGTCAGATGTCCAGGCGTGTTCTAAAGTGCACGCACAAGCCAGGGTGCGTGACAAGCTTGCAGAGGAGGAGGTTTGGGAGGAGAGGGAAGTGAGAGGGGAGGAGGAAAGTGAGGGGGAGGGGGAGGAAGCTGAGAGGAGAGAGGAAGAGGAAATAAATGAAGGGCATGATTTTAAGATGGGGTTGAAAAGATCAACTCCAGGCGGCCCGTTGGCTGTCCCGTCCTCGTCGCTTGCACCTGCTTCCCTGGCTTCCATCGCCCATGTGACTGTGCACAGCAACGCGCTCTTCTCCCCCGCCACCATCATCGCCACCCTTGCTGGCAGCTCTGCAGGGCGAGGCAGAGAGAGTGGAAGAGGGATAGGCGGAGGCAGAGAGAGAGGTGGAGAGAAAGAGAGAAGGGGGATGGGGGCACGGAAGGGGAGTAGGGGCACTGCGGCTGAGATGGATGTGTGTGATGGTGCCGGTGGTCATGCGACTGTGACACGGACAAGTGAGAGTGGTGGTGGTATGCATAGAGGGAGTGAGGGAGTGACGAGTGAGGGAGTGGTGGGCGGAGGCATGGTGGACATTGGAGTTCGGTTCAGAGGGATGCTGAGGAGTGGCAGGGAGGGTAGTTTGGCGATGGAATGCATGATGACTAGTGAGGCGAGTGGAGAGGAGGAGGAGGAGGAGGAGGAGGAGGAGGAGGAGGAGGAGGAGGAGGAGGAGGAGGAGGAGGAGGAGGAGGAGGAGGAGGAGGAGGAGGAGGAGGAGGAGGAGGAGGAGGGGGAATGGAAGGACGGGAACGAGGGGGAAGAGGGTAGTGGCGACTGGACAGAAACAGGTGTGAGTGGTGGAGGAGAGGAGAAGGGGAAGAAGGGTAGAGGGGGAGAGGATGGAGGGGTGGAGGGCGAGGGTGTGGGCAGGAGAAACGGTAATGAGGCAGACGTGAATGGAGCAGAGGTAGCAGCAGGTGCAGGTGCAAGTGCAGGGGGAGTGGGGGGAATGGAGGCGGTGGATGAAGAGGGTGGTGAGGAGGGGAGTGAGGAGGGGAGTGAGGAGGGCGGGATGGAAGGGGCGCAGGAGGCAGCAGTGGCATGGGGAATGGCGCAGATGGGGGGAGCAGGTGGGGGAAGCCTGGACTACGGGGCAGTGGGAGGGACGGAATTGGGAAGGCGGTGGGACGCGGAGGGGCGAGTGGGAGGGGGGGAGGAGGGAGGGCGGGTTAGGGCGGGAGTTGAGGAGGTGGCGGAGGTGGAGGAGGTGGCGAGCATCATCGGGCGCATGTCAGCTGATGTGATGTCGCTGGATGCCGCCTTACATGGTTCTTGGGCGTCTTCTGCCTCATGGGTGCCCTCCACCCCATCGCCTCCTTGTGAGCGCAGCAGCGAGGGCGAGAGGGACAAGACGGATTGGAGACCGGGAAGGAAGGAGAAGAGGAATGAGCGGGGGAGGGAGGGAGGCAGAGAGCAGGGGGGGAAAGAGGGCAAGGTGGGTGGGAAGGATGGGTTGGGTGCAGGGAGAGTGAGGGCAGCAGCGAGTGGGAGGGGCCGTGGTGCAAAGGGCATTGTCAGTGCTGCCAATGCTGGCAGCGCTGCTGCTGCTGGTGCTGGCACTGGTGCTGATGCTGGCATTGGTGCTGGTGCTGTAAGGGGTGCCAGTGACGCAGGTGCTGCTGTTGCTGCTGGCTCTACTCGCGGCATGCCTGCAGGCACCAATGCTGCAAGCACTGCTGCTGCCACTCATGTCACTGCTGCTGCTACAGGCAGTGCGATGGGCGCACAGGGTGAAGATGGGTTTGTTGGACAACAGGTGGCAGCGGCGGTGGCGGCAAGGAATGTGAGAGAGAGGGTGAGAGTGGAGGGTGCGGGCAGCACAGGGCAGCAGTCCCTGGGAGCAGCAACAGCAGCAGCGGTAGCGGTAGCGGTAGCGGTAGGAGGATCACAGGCATGGTCAGGGGAGGGTGTGCAGAAGAGCACAGTGGGAGGTGGAAGCATGGGGCAGTCAGGGCCAGCCGTGGATGTGTCAGGGCAGTCAAGGGGTGCGCTCCCATGTGCTCTGCCTTCTGCTGCACCCAATGCTGTACCTTCTGCTCCCAATCCTATTCCTGCCTCACCTACTCCTGCTACTCCCCCTGTTCAACCAGTACCCACACATGCCATGCATTCCCCACATACCCCACATACCCCATATGCCCGTACCGCACTTGCACCCATAAGCCCCGTGCTGGCAGCCCAGCAGGCACAACCCCCCATGCACCCGCCACATGCATGGCAGCTGCCAGGGCCCCTCCACCCCACCACCACCACCCCTCACGGCAACGAGAGGGGCCTTGCCAGGCCGCCACCTGTGCCACTGCTGCAGCGTGCGCAGACAGGCAAGCGAGGCATGGGGGAGGGCCAGGGGCGGGGCAGCAGGCACACAGAGGCGGCCCACCCATCACTCATGTTCCTGGCTCGCCGCGCTGCCACCGCCGCCCATGCCCCGTGAGAGGAACCCAGGCCTCTCGTTATCAGGGTAAAATACCCTTTTTGCACTGACTGGCGGCCGCTTTTTTTCAGTTACCCTTTCACAGGCAGGGTAGTGGATTTTTTACCCTAGGCCAGAAAGTGTAAGAAATTTAATACCCTTTGAAAAACAGCGTAACGGAAATATTTCTCTGACTGTACAGTGTACAAGACTAGATACACTGAACCGAACAGACCGTAGCGAGACGAAACACTATAGCAAAATCCTCCCGACACTTAGACTCGAACCGGAGACCTTCTTGCTCTACCTCGGACCAATTGAGCCCAACAACTACCATACATTACGCTGTAGCACAAGTTATATATGTATATTGTTTTAAATACCCTGACTAAAAAGACTTATATTTTTTTTACCCTGCATTTGTCAAGGAAACAAAAAAATTACCCTGAGCATCAGGGTTGACTATACCTAGGACCCTGATTACTAAGGGTCGCCCAAAACGAATCTGAAGGCTTGGAGGAACCCCTCCAGCTGGCATGCTGTAGGTGGTCTGTTGCCTCTGAACTTGCAGCACCACCCACCTGTGCAGCTGTACCTCCTACCCTCTGAGTCTTGGCAGTGGCTTGCACGCATCCCTGAGGGGCAGCCTGTTAAACTCTGTAGTGCAGCTTGTGTGCCTGACCAGCTCTGCAGTGGTGGCACTGTCCTAATGCGAAGAGCTTCCGTTAGAAATCCAGGGACTTTATCTCCCCGTAAAAGTGCTATTGAAAACGTCGTGATTGGTGTAGATTAACATCCCTCAATCGAAATGGACTAAAACCAAATCCAGTAAAAAAGTACAGTTTGAACTTCTGATGCACAACACATGCAGCTCTAGAAACAAAGGATTCTCAGACATCCCTAGGGCAGGTGCAATGGCTGGTACAAACACTCTGCACTGGTCTCCATTGAGTGGAAGGGACAAGGGGTTTGTTGGTTGGGACAGAGAAGAGATGTCATTGACTGGAGGCGAGAAATTATCCATCTAGAGCCATCCTACTGAGTGCACCGAATTGAGGCCGGAACCTGCATGCCTCTGCTCAAAGATAACAAGGGGAGGACAAAATGGATAGGATGATCCACGAGGTAAAGGAAAGCATGAAGAGGAGAAGCTGGGAAGTCGTGCAGGTGGAACACGAGCAATCACTCACAGTGCAGGTGCAACACGAGCAATCACTCACAGTGCAGGTGGAACACGAGCAATTACTCACAGTGGCGTTGAAACATATGCTGCAAGAAACGGGGTTCGAACGCCTGGGGAGCTTGTGACATCGATTTCGCCTTCACACTTTTCTGAATTGAAGTAATCAACCTTTCTGCAATCTGGAGCATCGCCAATGTTTTCAAGGCTATAATATGATGTGACCGTGCCAGCCGCAGAAGTTGGGATCTGAGTGCACCCATTCGGGTTGAGGCGGAAGGTCCAGGGTCGAGATGCCGCGTCCTTGGCTGTTTCATTCACAATAACTGTGTAGCTGAAGGAAGAGACGGTGGGAGCTCCACCTGATAAGGAGGGGCACAAAGGAAGCACTCAGCGAAGTGTTGCCAAAGGACTCAGCACAAAGGAAGGGCGTTCATACATTCATGCATGCATCGCCACATTCCCACAAGCATCAGCAGTTGAGCCAACTTGGCAGAGCGAGAAAGGTGAAGCAAAGAGTGGGGTACGAGGTGAGAGGAGCGAGCAGGCCGGGTGGGTGAGGAGAGCATGCATGAAGAAAGGAAGCTCACCCTGAACACAGCTGGTCGCGGTCATCCCATACCCGCTAGGGCACGAACAGTAAGGAATGAGCTCGTTTGTGCTGGGCTTCAGGTAATTTTTGCAGATGGCTCCCACGGGGCACGAGCCACATGGTGAGGCTGAGGGGTGGGGATGGGTGCAGTGTGGTATGTGAGAGGGGAATTGAGGCGCCAGAGGGGCATGAGCCACAGGGTGAAGCTGAAGAACGCAGGAAGCAAGTGAGAAGGAGGGGACGGGGAGCGGTGGGAGTATGAGGTTTGAAGATTGGTAGAAGATGGTGGATCCAGGGGGGTTGGCGCCCAAGGTGAGTCTGAAGGGCGCAGCAAGCGAGGGAGAAGAACGTGAGAGGGGATTGGCAAACAAGGGAGACGCAAGGCAGAGGGGGGAAGCGAGGCAGAGGGGGGAAGCGAGGCGGAGGGGGGAAGCGAGGCAGAGGAGTTGAGGGAGAAGAGAAACAGAGCAGAGAGACGGTGGGATAAGCATGAATGGGGGGTGGGTGTGAGTGCAGCGCAGTGGGGATTGTTGGTAGAGGAGGTAGGGCAGCAGAAAGACGAGCATCGTGCACTCTAACAAGGAGGTAGGCCAGACAAGGAGGTACGCCAGACAAGGAGGTACGCCAGACAAGGAGGTACGCCAGACAAGGAGGTACGCCAGACAAGGAGGTACGCCAGACAAGGAGGTAGGCCAGACAAGGAGGAATGTCTATCTCTCAAAACGTTGGGACATCAGGACATATCCAATGGCATGGGGTGGGCCGGCAAAAAGAACACGACTCTCACTCTCATGGGGTGGGGACATGAGGTTACACGATGAACGATGGCAGTGAGGACTCTACCACGAAACACCTGAGGTTGAAACCCATGTGGCTCCTCGAAAACGACCTCATGGGGTACGGGGCTGGATGGCGCGGGGTTGCTATACCATGTACGAATGCATGGCATGAGGTGGAATTGGGAAAGAAGCAGAAATTCCGTGCTCACCCCACTCGCAGCAACGCCACGCTCACTCACCCCACTTGCAGTAGCGCTCTCTGTTTTTGTCCAACTCGCATTTGCCGCCAACAGGCTCACAACCCAACGCCGCACAGGCAGGATCTGCAGCAGAGGCGAAGCGAAAGGGGCAACAGACAACGATATGCTTATTTCGAAGCCATAAGGGCATCGGGACGAGCTGTGCGCAGGGCAGACGCGAGAGGGCGGTGTACTGAGATCCGCCAAAAGAGAAATGCAGGGTCATTCCCGGCCTTCAGAATGCCGGCCTGAACGTAATGGCCACTTAACTTACCGCTGGCCGTAATGTCTTGCGCAATCCTCGCATTGACCTTCCTGCTCGCTGTTTCTGCCTCCATGCCTTCGCCATTCGCGCCTTTCAGCGTGCTTCGCAGCTTCGCACGCTGAGTAATGCTTTTCACCGTGCCGTCCCCGTACGTGTCGTACAGCATGCTGCGGTGTGTCATCCGTTTCACCGTATCGTCGGCATACGCTGCCTTCATCATCTGAACTGCTGCAGAGGACAAGAGAGAGGGTGTGAAGAGAAGAGAGAGAAAGAAGAAATGAGAGAGTAGCGAGGGAAGACAAAGGAGAGGATCGAGGTACACAAGAGGTCGAAAACAGCGAGCAGGAAGGAGGGATTACTCGGAAGAAAGGCGTGGTTCCAAGGGCTTACGCCAAATCCGAGGCAAGGGCTGACCACTAGCAGTACATGTTGAATCAATGGGAGAAGGCAATGAGAAGCAGACTGACCGGCGATGAGCGCAATGGCGAGCAGCAGGAGTCCGGCAGGAGAGGCGCGCATCGACCCCATGATGATGATGACCACGAGGCTCCCGCGGGAGAGACGGCAGAAGTGGGGAGGGAAGAGGCGAGGGAAGAGGCGAGAAGTGGCGAGAGAAGAGGCGCAACAGTGGAGCGTGTGGAGTTCAGCGGTAAGTTTAGGGTTGCAATCGCCAAGCGAGACGATGGGTGGAATGAAGGACAGTCCAGTGCAAAACGGAATGAAGGAACTGCGTTGAGCTGGTGACTTATATCGCGAGTTACGTGCGTGAGGCAAGCATGGCAGCCGCCGCGCCATCTTCCGAAGTTCGGAGCGCGATTTATATCATGCATTATATGTGCCACATATATAATGCATTGCTTGGCTCCAGTGCGTCATAGGGACCACATTCCTGAATTATTCGAGTGCGACATGCGACACTGGGCTTGGCTCGAGTGAGTTGCGACGGCGAAATCGCCCCCTAAATGTTGGGAATGATATGTGTGCGACTGAAGAGATTGGCGGGGCGCCATGAGTCAGATGGAAATTGGCTCGAGCGATTTTGCACGATGAAATAATTCGACAGAAGCACGTGATGCACTGTCGTTCACGAATAGCGAATCGATGTTACAACGCGTGCTTTTTCCCGTTCGTTACTCCTTCCTCCACGATGGTGAAGGTTCAGCATGGGGTACGAAATTCTCACAAAACCAGCGCGTTCATTTACAGTTCATCCGTCGTGGTGCAAGACGGTTCAAAACGTTGCACAACAGTTGTCAAGCTTAAAGTGTAACCGCACAGACGAACAGATACGAACGCGATGAACCCGCCCTAAATAATGCACCCAGGAGTTTTCTGTACAGTAATTCTTTTCCGTTTTCCCAAGGCGAACTGAGAAGCTCAGGCCCGAACTTCGTCGCACAATAGCGTCGCTGAACAAGTGAATGTACACGCGCCTTGACGAGATTGGGTGCCATTCGTCAGCGTTTGGTTCTTGTCCGCGATTGGTTACAATTGAGAGACTTGTGCTTGGTTCAGCCTACCAATCGAGGCTCTCTTCCGGAATTCCCATGAGAACCTCTGTGCGACGCGGACCAACCGACCGTGCGACGCGGACCAACATACCGTGCGACAGCAGCGACCACCCGAGAATGATCGCATCGCATTGCTTCCAACCCTTCACAAAACATCCTCACCTCAACCTTGAGCCCTTTGTCAAGCTCGCTCGATAAGGACGCAGTGGAAGTAGACGATCGATCGTCAGTCGCGATCTATGTGCGAATTGGTTACCCTAATAGCTATACTGTAACCATGATACAGTACGTTTTTTGGCCAAAATTCCTTTACAGTGCGTGAATGCGACTGATCACTGTTCGCGGGAGAGTTGTCAATTTTCAGTGGAGATCGTCACAACGTCGCGATCGCCACGTTTCGCCAATCGATCTGACCAATCTAGTAGGGCTCGACATTTGCAGACGATCCTGCGATATTTTCACTTTAACCGCGTCCTAAAGCTTGTTGTGCCTGTCCAGCTCGCTTGTGCTGGGACTGGTTGCTACTACCCAATGAGCTGAGCGGAAGGACTTGTAGCTACCGCATCGTCACCCCCATATTCCAGATTAGTCTCTAGCAGCCGCTCGTTTTATGGATGCGGCTGTGTCCGATCGCATAGCGCACAGCACGCGCCGCAGCCCGGCGATCAGACTCGAGTATATTATCTTGTACACCTGAACCTCCCGTCGCATGTCCGCCACGACCGCGTCGCGCATCCGCAAGCGCCCTCCCGGGGGACGACCATTGCGCCCGGCGGCTCGCCGCGTGCGGAGCTGAGTCCCGCCGCGAGAGCGCGCGCAGAGCACGCGCAAACCGGCGATCCGACTCAAATACCATTCGACCCCGTTCGAACCTTGCCCCTCTCGCCATTTCCAGTTGCTGTAGTAGTACTTAAATACTTGTGTTCCCTCCCCTTCCGAGTGCGACGGCGGCGATGGCGGCGATGGCGGGGAGCGAGGTGCACCAGGCGCTGCAGGCGGCGGCGCTGCCGCTGAGTTTCCTGGTGATGAGCTCGGTGCTGCCGGTGGTGAAGGTGCTGCTCATCGCCGCCACGGGGCTCATCTTCGCGCTGCCCTACTTCGACGTCCTGCACGCCGACGCGCGCAAGAGCCTCAGTAAGGTGCGCCGCGCGCAAGAGCCTCAGTAAGGTGCCGCCCGTGCGCTTGGGCAGGGTGCTGGGACGTTGAACTGTGCTAGGATGCTGGGCAGGGCGCTGGGGCAAATCGCTAAGGAAATGCGCTGCGCTAGGGCGCTGAGGCAGGGCGCTGAGGCAGGGCGCTGGGTAGGGCGGTGGAGCAGGGCATTACAGCCACTGGTCGCTGTCGCCATCGGCGGCCTCGTCCACGCGCTCCCCGTTCTCGCCGTGCCCCCCCTTCTCGCCGTGCCCCCCCTTCTCGCCGCGCCGAGCGCAGAAGCGGAGGAAGGCGCGCCGCAGGCGTAGAGCGCTGGGGGTGGGGCGTTGGGGTTGAAACGTTGGGGGTAGGGCGTTTGGTTGGGAGGGGGAGAATAGGGCGCTGGGTATAGGCCATTGGGGGGTCGAGGAAATTAGGAATGGGGGGCAGTGGGATGAAGGAGAGGGGTTGAGGAAACGAGGGGAGCAGAAAAAGGCATGGTGAAAATGAAAAGAGCGCGACGGAGGAGGGAGACCAGTTGTAATGCGGAAGCAGAGGTGAGTAGTGGGGGCGAGCGAGGCAGGCGGTCTATTAGTAAGGGAGATAGGAAGGAGGAGGTGGTCGGGGAAAGGGGTGTGGAGTTGAGGCGGGAGGGATGTGGAGCGGAGAAGAAAGGGATGGAATGGAATGAGTGGATCGCCATGGCGGAGAGGCGAGAGGTGGTGGAGAGAGAGGCGGGCACAGAGAGGGCGGAGAAGGTGGTTGAGGGCCGCCCAGGGAGCATTGCTGGCATGGCAGCGCTGAGACTGTGTGTGAACCGGAGATGCAAAGCGGCGTCTCCCCACACGCCCACACGTTGTCCGTCTATGTGCGGAGAAGCATGCCTGCCTGCCTGCCTGACGGCCTGCCTGCCTGTGCTTCCTGGCGTGCTTCACACTCCGCCGCCATCCTCCTCTGTCCCCATTCATGCCATCTAATCATGCCGCCCATTCGTGCCATCTAATCATGCCGCCCATTCGTGCCATCTAATAATGCCGCCCATTCGTGCCATCTAATAATGCCGCCCATTCGTGCCACCCGTGGTGCTGTCTCCCCTCGCTCCCCGCCCCCAGCTGGTGTTCACGGTGTTCCTGCCGGCCATCATCTTCGTCAACCTGGGCGAAGCCATCTCCTTCGAAAACCTCCTCAGATGGTAACCACGCTACCTCAAATGGTAACCACGCTACCTCAAATGGTAACCACGCTACCTCGAATGGTAACCATGCTACCTCCGATGGTAACCACGCTACTTCAGATGGTAATAATCTCAGATGGTAACCCCCTTCCATGGTAACCCCCTTCCATGGTAACCCCCTTCCATGGTAATGGCCTCGGATGGTAACCGCCACAGATGGTCACCTGCTCTGTTGTTAACGGCGACATTCTGCAACCAGATTGCTGCTCAACCTCCAACTTGTTTCGCTACCTCCCTTAATCGCCTCACTTGTTAGCTTGCCATCCACATCCCTGCACTCCCGCGCCTCCTAAGTCGTCACCCGCTCGTTGCCCTCCATCCTGCTCGTTGCCCTCCATCCTGCTCGTTGCCCTCCATCCTGCTCGTTGCCCTCCATCCTGCGCTCCCGCAGAGTCATACGAGATCATATGAGATCGCAATGCATTGTGATTTCCACCACTCGCCTCATGCTTCACTTCACACGCGAACCACGACACGGCACAATCACACCTCCCTCCCTCCGCCACCTCTCCCCCACCCTCCCCCACCCTCCCCCACCACCCTCCTCTCCCTCCCTCTCCCCCGCAGGTGCTTCATACCGGTGAACGTGGTGCCGGCGTCCGTGCTGGGCTGTGTGCTGGGCTGTGTGCTGGCTGTGTGCTGGGCTGTGTGCTCGTCGCGTGGCTTTTTGAGGTGCCTTCCCCCCCCCCCCCCCCCCCCCCCCCCCCCCCCCCCCCCCCAACACACACTCCCCCCCTCCCCACCCCAACACACACTCCCCACCACCACACACACTCCCCCCCTCCCCACCACCAACACACACTCCCCCCCTCCCCACCCCCTCCGCAGGTGGTTCATCCCAGTGAACGTGGTGCTGGCGTCTGTGCTGGGCTGTCTGCTCGGCATGCTGGTGGCGTGGCTCACCGACTGCCCACCCGAGTTCTTCCGCCTCGTCTTCGTCCTCACAGGCATTGGTGGGTGCTCACAGTCACAGGCATTGGTCAGTGCTTGCCCCCGCTTCGCTCCAACTTGTGGCTCTTCACTTCACCTGCATGTGTCTTCTTGCTTCCTTCTCTGCTTCCCTCCCTCCCTCTCCCCTCCTCTCCCCCTCCCGCTCCCCCAAGCGCCCTCGCACACATGACCGACTGTTCACCCATTCGTCCTGTCAAGCCTCTCAACTCAAGCCAACCATGCCCCCTCCCATGCCCACCCGCTTCCGCCCTCCCATGCCCACCCGCTTCCGCCCTCCCATGCCCACCCGCTTCGTCCCTTTTATTCGCCCTCCCGTCCGGCTTACCCGCATGTTCCTCCCCCTTGGTCAACATGGGAACGTGTGACTTGCTGCTCCTCTTGCTCCCTTCTCTTCTCCCCTCCCCCCTCCCTTGTCTCTTGGCCAACCCCCTCACCTCCCCCGCACCAGGCAACAGGCAACATGCCGTTGGTGCTGCTGTCAGCGGTGTGCTCCGATGCACGCAACCCCTTCCGACTTGCCCCCATGCAGCCATGCTCCCCCCCCTCCTTCCCTCACCCCCTCCCCCTCCCTTCTATCTCGGCCACCCCTCCTCGCTCCCCCCCTCTTTCTTCCAGGCAACATGGGCAACATGCCGTTGGTGCTGCTGTCAGCGGTGTGCTCGGATGCGCGCAACCCCTTCGGCGGGCACAACGAGTGCAACAAGCTTGGCAACCGCCTACATCTCCCTCGGCATGTGGGTGCGTGCATGGGGGCATGTGGGTATGTGGGTGCGTTCTTGTGTGCATGTGAGTACGGGGGTGCGTGCATGTGTGCATGCGGGTTGGGGGCGTGTGTATGTGTGCATGTGGGTGCGTGGTGCATGCATGTGTAGAAGGTAACTAACTAGTTGTGATGGAGGTGCATGCAAGTGTGCATGGAGAGGTCTACCTTGCGGGTAGCTCTAGCATGCAATAGCGCCAGCCAGCATGCTATCCGTGCGCATGTGGATATGTGTGCTATCCGTGCGCATGTGGATATGTGTGCTATCCGTGCGCATGTGGATATGTGTGCTATCCGTGCGCATGTGGATATGTGTGCTATCCGTGCGCATGTGGAGATGTGTGCTATCCGTGCGCATGTGGATATGTGTGCTATCCGTGCGCATGTGGATATGTGTGCTATCCGTGCGCATGTGGATATGTGTGCTATCCGTGCGCATGTGGATATGTGTGCTATCTGTGCGCATGTGGATATGTGTGCTATCCGTGCGCATGTGGATATGTGTGCTATCCGTGCGCATGTGGATATGTGTGCTATCCGTGCGCATGTGGATATGTGTGCTATCCGTGCGCATGTGGATATGTGTGCTATCCGTGCGCATGTGGATATGTGTGCTATCCGTGCGCATGTGGATACGTGTGCTATCCGTGCGCATGTGGATATGTGTGCTATCCGTGCGCATGTGGATATGTGTGCTATCCGTGCGCATGTGGATATGTGTGCTATCCGTGCGCATGTGGATATGTGTGCTATCCGTGCGCATGTGGATATGTGTGCTATCCGTGCGCATGTGGATATGTGTGCTATCCGTGCGCATGTGGATATGTGTGCTATCCGTGCGCATGTGGATATGTGTGCTATCCGTGCGCATGTGGATATGTGTGCTATCCGTGCGCATGTGGATACGTGTGCTATCCGTGCGCATGTGGATACGTGTGCTATCCGTGCGCATGTGGATATGTGTGCTATCCGTGCGCATGTGGATATGTGTGCTATCCGTGCGCATGTGGATATGTGTGCTATCCGTGCGCATGTGGATATGTGTGCTATCCGTGCGCATGTGGATATGTGTGCTATCCGTGCGCATGTGGATATGTGTGCTATCCGTGCGCATGTGGATATGTGTGCTATCCGTGCGCATGTGGATATGTGTGCTATCCGTGCGCATGTGGATATGTGTGCTATCTGTGCGCATGTGGAGATGTGTGCTATCCGTGCGCATGTGGATATGTGTGCTATCCGTGCGCATGTGGATATGTGTGCTATCCGTGCGCATGTGGAGATGTGTGCTATCCGTGCGCATGTGGATACGTGTGCTATCCGTGCGCATGTGGATGCGTGTGCTATCCGTGCGCATGTGGAGATGTGTGCTCAGCACGTTTTCCTGCAGACAGTGGCGACAGTGATGTGGGGCATGGTCGAAAGCATCCTGCTTCTCTGTCCATGCCCTCCGCCCCTTTCTTTCCTCCCTTCTCCCCCTTCACCACACCCTGCCCGCAGATGGCGGCCATAGTGATGTGGAGCACGGTCTACAACATCCTGGCGCCCCCTGAGGAGTGGTTACCAGGTTACGTGCGGCCGTTGGACCACTTCGGCATCGACCACAAGTACGTCGATGCGCCCATGGTGCCGTACCAGGAGGAGGAGGACAGCGACAGTGACGAGGGGGAAACAGACGGGGAGGGGGGCGAGGAGGGGTGGGAGGTGCCGGGCGGGTGGGAGGCGGCGCTGGGCGTGGGCGTGGAAGCCGTGTCGTCGCGCCCGCTCGCGCCGGGGGAGGGCAGGGGACACCACCACCACGCTGCTGCTGCTGCCAGGGGCGGTGCTGGCGCTGCTGCTGCTGATGGCACTGCGGGTCTGCATGCGCCGCTGCTAGCAGGTGCACCAACAGCAGCAGGGGCGGCAGAGGGGCGCATGGGGGCAGGGGTGCCGCGGCTGGGCAGTGCGGGGGCCGTGGAGGCAGGGCAGCAGCAGCGCAGTGAGGGGTCGGTGCGAGGCGGGCGTGTGTTTGGCGGTGGCAGCCTCGGCAGCAGCGTGGCTCGCACGGCATCCCGGTCGCTGCGGAAAGCATCTGTCGCGCTGCTCGTGCGCGCACCCAACACGGTGAGCTGTGAGCCACGTGGTGAGTGAGACCCCAACACGGTGAGCTGTGAGCCACGTGGTGAGTGAGACCCCAACACGGTGAGCTGTGAGCCACGTGGTGAGTGAGACCCCAACACGGTGAGCTGTGAGCCACGTGGTGAGTGAGACCCCAACACGGTGAGCTGTGAGCCACGTGGTGAGTGAGACCCCAACACGGTGAGCTGTGAGCCACGTGGTGAGTGAGACCCCAACACGGTGAGCTGTGAGCCACGTGGTGAGTGAGACCCCAACACGGTGAGCTGTGAGCCACGTGGTGAGTGAGACCCCAACACGGTGAGCTGTGAACCACGTGGTGAGTGAGACCCCAACACGGTGAGCTGTGAGCCACGTGGTGAGTGAGACCCCAACACGGTGAGCTGTGAGCCACGTGGTGAGTGAGACCCCAACACGATGAGTAGCCAGGAGGTGCCGCAGCATGCAGTGAGAGGCAAATGCAGGTGCACCGACATATCGTGGCTGCACATTTGCACACCACAGGTTCCATCGGCCCTTCCATCCGCCCTTCCATCCGCCCTTGTATCCGCACTTGTCACTCGCCTCTCCTCATCCCCCGCTCTCCCGCATCCATCGCTAAGAGGTGGTTGCAAGTCTTCAAGCTACTACTTGCCTCGTTCCCTGTTCTCCCTCCTCTCCATATGTGCTCCCTCCTCTCCGTATGTGCTCGGGCGTGCATTCGTGCGTGAGTGAGTGTGCGTGTCTGAGTGCGTGCGTGCGTGCGTGTATGTGTGTGTGCATGTCTGTGTGTGTGTGTGCATGTCTGTGTGTGTGTGTGCATGTCTGTGTGTGTGTGTGCATGACTGTGTGTGTGTGTGCATGTCTGTGTGTGTGTGTGCATGTCTGTGTGTGTGTGTGTGTGCATGTCTGTGTGTGTGTGTGCATGTCTGTGTGTGTGTGTGCATGTCTGTGTGTGTGTGAGCATGTCTGTGTGTGTGTGTGCATGTCTGTGTGTGTGTGAGCATGTCTCTGTGTGTGTGAGCATGTCTGTGTGTGTGTGAGCATGTGCATGGCAGCTGGGAGAGGTCCTCAAGGCGTTGCACATTTACGATGTCTTCCGCCCGCCCGTCCTCGCTGCTGTACGTCCATCCCTCCCTGCCATAGCCCGCTCGGGCTGGGTTGGTTCGGGCCGGCCCATGCTTCTCCCAGCCAACCCCATGTTGTCCTCCGATGATGCATAACCCCCATGCTGCCTTCCCATGCTGCCTTCCCCCATGCTTTCCTGATTCCCGTGCATCTTGGTTCTGTTGAATTCCTGGAACTCCACATCGAGGAGTATGTTCTGTTGTTGTCAACTCTAGTCTCCACCATTGACTCTAGTCTCCACCATTGACTCTAGTCTCCACCATCGACTCTAGTCTCCACCATCGACTCTAGTCCCCACCATCGACTCTAGTCCCCACCATCGACCCTAGTCTCCACCATCGACCCTAGTCTCCACCATCGACACTAGTCTCCACCATCGACTCTAGTCCCCACCGTTGACTCTAGTCTCCACCGTTGACTCTAGTCTCCACCGTTGACTCTAGTCCCCACCGTTGACTCTAGTCTCCACCATTGACTCTAGTCCCCACCGTTGACTCTAGTCTCCACCGTCGACTCTAGTCTCCACCATCGACTCTAGTCTCCACCATCGACTCTAGTCCCCACCATCGACTCTAGTCCCCACCATCGACCCTAGTCTCCACCATCGACCCTAGTCTCCACCATCGACTCTAGTCCCCACCGTTGACTCTAGTCTCCACCGTTGACTCTAGTCTCCACCGTTGACTCTAGTCTCCACCGTTGACTCTAGTCCCCACCGTTGACTCTAGTCCCCACCGTTGACTCTAGTCTCCACCATTGACTCTAGTCCCCACCATTGACTCTAGTCTCCACCATTGACTCTAGTCCCCACCATTGACTCTAGTCCCCACCATCGACCCTAGTCTCCACCGTCGACTCTAGTCTCCACCATCGACTCTAGTCTCCACCATCGACCCTAGTCTCCACCATCGACTCTAGTCTCCACCATCGACTCTAGTCCCAACCATTGACTCTAGTCTCCACCATTGACTCTAGTCTCCACCATTGACTCTAGTCTCCACCATTGACTCTAGTCTCCACCATTGACTCTAGTCCCCACCATTGACTCTAGTCTCCACCATTGACTCTAGTCTCCACCATTGACTCTAGTCCCCACCATTGACTCTAGTCTCCACCATTGACTCTAGTCTCCACCATTGACTCTAGTCTCCACCATTGACTCTAGTCTCCACCATTGACTCTAGTCCCCACCACGGCTGCTGCGCGGGTCAGAACCTTCCCATCTACACTGCTCGCACCCCCCTGGCTTATGCTGTGTTGCGTCTGTACGGTTGTTCACATTCGGGCTATGTCTCGCCTTTGCCTGCCACTTCTCCTTGCCCGTTCACCGTTGCCCAATAATTAAGCTCCATGACCTCTTTCTCCTCCAGCTCTGCCTGTGCACTTCCTCCTTCCCCACCTCCCCCCATCCCCTCATTTTCTCCATCCCCCCATGCCCCCCACTGTCTGAGCATGGTACTGCAGCTGGACTTCCTCTCTTCCACTGCACCATGGCCCTTGCGTGTCACCTTCCCCTAACTCCCCCATCTCTCTTCGTCGCCCCACTCTTCACACCCTGCCTCCCCACCCTGCACCTGCCCGGGCAGTGTCTGGCAATGCTGCTGGGCATGGTGCCGCAGCTCGACTTCCTCTTCTTCCACCGCGACGGTGCGCTGCGCTTTCTCACCGACGCCCTCGCCGTGCTGGGGTGAGTCAGTTGCTGGGCTCAGGTGCTGCTGCCATGCTGGGGTGGGTGCTGCTGCCCGTTCTGGATCATCCCAGCCTCCCTCTGCGCAACGATGCAATTTCTTGCACACGTCAATGTTGCTGCTCACAACACCCCTGCATCTCTTGCTTGGGCCAACACATGTGATCCGATTCTGTCCCTTCCTCTATCTTCTCTCTCTCTCTCTCTCTCCGCTCCTCTGCCATGTGCGTGTCTCGCGTCGCCTACAGCCAGGCCATGATCCCCTGCATTCTGCTGGTTCTCGGCGCCAACCTCGTCAAGGGTCAGTGCAGTAGTGCGGTGTCCATTTGCTTTACTGAGCTGCTGTGGTGGTGTTTCAATCTGCTGGAATTTGCTGGGATTGCTAGTAGACAAGTCATTGTTGGGTCAGAGTGCGTCTATTGGATTGGCCATCAGCGCCTGTACCAGCATGCTATCTAGCATACAGTGGTTCGATGGGACTGGCAGGTGCATTCGGGCTCCTGCTTGCATCCCTGCACCACCCACGCCCTGCCCACAAGTCCCGGGCGTCAGCACTGCCAATGCGCATGACACTAGCGGTGGTGGTGACACGGCTGCTGCTGGTGCCGCTGCTCGGCGTTGCCCTCTCCTCTCCCTTGTTTCGAATTGAAATTCACCCACGCCCTGCCGTGCAGGTCCCGGGGCGTCAGCGCTGCCGATGCGCACGACACTGGCAGTAGTTGTGACGCGGCTGCTGGTGGTGCCGCTGCTGGGCATCGCCATCGTGCTGTGCGCCGACCGCCTGGGGCTGCTACCGCCCGGCGACAAGATGTTCCGCTTTGTGCTGCTGCTGCAGCATGCCATGCCCTCGTCCATCCAGATAGGTGCGTTAGTATGGGTGTGAGAGGATGGGTGCGAGAGGATGAGTGTGCCGGGGTGTGCTAGGGGTGTGCCAGGGGTGTGCCAGGGGTGTGCCAGGGGTGTGCCAGGGGTGTGCCAGGGGTGTGCCAGGGGTGTGCCAGGGGTGTGCCAGGGATGTGCCAGGGGCGTGCCAGGGGTGTGCCAGGGGTGTGCCAGGGATATGCCAGGGGCGTGCCAGGGGTGTGCCAGGGGTGTGCCAGGGATGTTCCAGGGGTGTGCGAGAGGATGGGTGCAGTCACATCTAGCTTACATCTCAACACCTTTTTCCGTGTGCCCTTGGCATGCAGGCACGGCGTGCAGTCTAAGGGGGTTTGGGGAGCAGGAGGTATCAGCGGTGCTCTTCTTTCAGCACATATCAGCCGTCTTCACCATGGCTGTCTACCTCTTCGTATTCTTCTACCTCCTATACGGCTGACCACCAGTGACCTCTCTGCTGCAACGCCCTCTGTAGTTAAACCTACACATGCAAACATATACATAAAATCCATAAAACCAAGCCATGTAAAATCTACCCATGCAAACATAGATTGTTGTTGTTGTTTTTTTTTTTTTTTTTTTTTTTTTTTTTTTTTTGTTTTTGTTTTTGTTTTTTTTTTTGGGTTGCGAAGCAACCCTTTACGATCGATTTTGACAAATTTTATTTTCATGTCAAAAAAACATGAAAAAAAAATCGTAAGCTACAGTTCCACCCTTCCCATTGTGCATATACTACACTCATTTTTTCTTTCTTGTAGTGGTTTTGTGCATAGATTCTATACTGTTTGCATTATATATTTGTTCTTGTTTAATGGGACAATTGCAATAGATGTTACGAATATTAGTAATGAAATACACACCATGCATGCTTAAATGAATGCAATGAGACAAGATATATAGATGCATAATACTGATACATGGATGGAAATGATTTTGTATGAGAAATGCTAAATGCGACATACCAGTATATCATTATCATACAAATGCGTGATAGTTAACGACCCAAAAACTAGGCTACCGCATCCCCTGCCTAGCATGGGGGGGAAGTCAATAGCAAAGTCTTTGAATAATCAACTAGCACATGAAACAATACAATCTGTTAACTCTAAAAAACAAGTTCACTCTATCAAATCCAGTTCGAAGTGGCAAACACACGAGTCACTGAGTGCGCCAATGAACCAATGAGAAATGATAGAAATGAACCCATTTTTTAAAATTGACAGACATGCATTGATATTGCAATGATAAATGAAAAAAATGCACACACACAAGCAAACACATTCACATATTTGGAGAAGCACGAACACCGGCAAAACCAGCAAAAAATACGCGATAATAAATAACATGCAAATCAACGTTAAAAGGACAATATGGTAAATCCTATCAGTGACAAATGCGCTTTTTTCCAGATTGAAATCGCATTTCTGACCAGCAGGCTCCTGCGAAACGAGTTCAGGAACGATACAGTAAACGAAAGAAGAGACTATAACGAAATACAGAGAGCGAGAGCGAGAGAGAGAAAGAGGACGGGAGAGAGAGGACGAGAGAGAGAGGACGAACGAGAGAGAACGAACGAAAGAGAACGAACGAGATAGAGAGGACGAACGCGAGACAACGAACGAAAGAGAACGAACGAGAGAGAGAATGAACCTAAGAGAGAGAACGAGAGAGGGAGAGAACTAGAAAGAGAGAACGAGAGAGAGAGAGAGAGAGAGAGAGAGAGAGAGAGAGAGAGAGAGAGAGAGAGAGAGAGAGAGAGAGAGAGAGAGAGAGAGAGAGAGAGAGAGAGAGAGAACGAGAGAGAGAGAGAGAGAGAGAGAGAAAGAGAGAGAGAGAGAGAGAGAGAGAGAGAGAGAGAGAGAGAGAGAGAGAGAGAGAGAGAGAGAGATAGAGAGAGAGAGAGAGAGAGAGAGAACGAGAGAGAGAGAAAACGAACGAGATAGAGAGAGAACAAGAGAGAGAAAGAGAGAAAGGAAACGAGAGAGAGGGAAGGAGAGAGGGAGAACGAGAGTGAGAGACGAGAGAGAACGAAAGAGAGAGAGGAGAACGAGAGAATGAGAACGAAAAACAGAGAACGCGAGAGAGAAAGTGAGAACGAGAGAGAGGGAACGAGAGCGAGAACGATAGAGAGAGAACGAGAGAGAGAGAGAGAGAGAGAGAGAGAGAGAGAGAGAGAGAGAGAGAGAGAGAGGAGAGAGAGAGAGAGAGAGAGAGAGAGAGAACAAAAGAGAAAGAGACGAGATAGAGAGAGTGAGAGATAATTCATAACTACGGTTTCAAAAGAGCCTAAACTGAAGAGCAAAAGGTGGAAGAAAGATGTGCAAATACGAGGAAGGAATGATGCACTAAACTAATGGAAGTCATGATGAAGAACATAAGAATCAGATGCAAGATTATGTACAAAGAATATGTAAAGTATTTACAAAGCGCCAAAGAATTGAGAAAAGAAATGTGAGCATGGAATGAAACTAGAACGAAATGGATAAAGTAATTATGCGACAATTCTAGATGTTGTGAAAGTGAGACGAAAAACTGGCATTGCAGGCTCTAAAGAAAGAACGACCTGGTTGGTCGTCGAAATGGATTAAGACCAGCAGTAAAACGGCTAGTTGCTAAGTCTAAACGACTGAAACAGACGATAATGATTAAGACAGATGTATCAACTATCATCTTAAGTTTAGAACGCTCACCTAGGTAGTAGTAGCTGAGAACAGGAGTCGGGGGAATCATTGGAGTAGCTTGGAGAAGTTGAACCAAAACGAAACCAAGCAGAAAAGGATTCGTCGACAAGTAACGATATTAATATTGTTTCTTTCCCTACCTCGGTGTCGAAATTGGCGTAGTGGTGAAGGTGACATTGTCGAATCGGACAGTCTGGAGATCGATCCTTGATGCGATCGAACCTTCGAAACCAAACAGTACAGTTTTTGTAAACCTCAGCCTAGAGTTACATACTCGGTATAAGTAGTTAGGTAGTCATGCAAAACGAGATCCATAGTAATAGAAGTTGTATAACATATGTTGATAATGCAAAAAGCTTCGCAACCCTATGACGACGTCGTCGCCTCTTGTTTTTTTTTTTTTTTTTTTTTTTTTTGCATATACTACAGATTTCCATTATCTAAGAAATGAATTCTCCTTTAGTGTTGATGTTGGTGAATTTGTAGTTACAGCAGGTGAAAGGTACTTGCCAGTGCTGCCACCTAGTAGTTAGATCTCGTTCCATAGTTCACACCACTAGGTCTAATGTTCTTGTTGAGGATAATATTGAAGGTAGACAATTAGATGTGTATACATTTTTCAGCAGGGTTTAGGGTTTGTGTGTGGCTCACAGTTTTGGGGCAACATTTCAAGTTCCTAAGGATTTTGAACCCCTCCTTTATAATGTATACCGGAGCTTTAAGAAGCACGTTACTGATCCGCTTTCAAACAAGTATCGTTTTGGGGTTGTTCGAGACCGATCCGCTTGCACATTCCCCCGCCTGCGCGCTAACAATACCGTATGGCCCCGGATATAGGCGCCGTCCGATTAAAGGCGCCGGCGCTTATATCTGGAGCATGGCGCTTATGGCCGTTCCTCGATTATAAGCGCCCCCCCCAAAAAGACCTATACTTATTATAAGCGCACGTACAGTTTTTACTTGAATTGTTTGTTTAAAACAGTAGCGAATTTCATTTTTGCAGCGAGTCCAAAATCATTGTCGCTTTGTTTGACTCGCGAAGACCTGACTGGCTGCGCGTCCAGTCAGGATGTGCTGGCATGCCTGCAGAATGACGCGAATTTGCCCGTGTGCAGGAATTAGAATCGCTTCCGAGCGATTCTGCTTTGTGACGCTATATTGTTTCGACTCGGTTGAAGTGGCAACAATGAAATGTAGAATTTGGTACCCTAAAAGTATAAAATTGTATTTGTCATTATATAAGCGCCGGCGCTTATGGCCGTTACTCAATTACAAGCGCCCCCCCCCTAAAAAAAATGAATTTATTATAAGCGCATATGCGCTTATATCCGGGGTGATACGGCAATTCACTCCGCGGGAAGGAATACACAGTCAGAATACTGAATGAGAATGAATGCATTGAGAACAAGCTGAGTACAAGTACTAACCCTAATTGGGTTGTACCCCTTATGGGCTACCCCACTACAGCCTACACAACACAACATAAACATTATCATGTTTTGACACACCCCCATAGGCAAAGTGGGGGAGAACAAGTGGTCACAAGACCAGTCAAGAAAAGCAAAGCAAGCTCAGGGTGGATCACGAAGTCACCACACAGTCCGAGCACAAGCAAATGGCCACAAGGCCAGTTCACATGCAGAGTTATATAAAAGAACACATACAGTACAGTGATCATAACCAAGCAAGTGTAAGCATCCAGATAGATGTATATAGATCACAGTACAAGCAAAGTCACGCAGTGAGCAAGTGAGACAAAAGAGGCACAAGGCCTAAAGCAGTACAGAAACGCTGATGATCACCAGACTGAAGTGCCTTGGTGAATATATCAGCAGTGTTGGCCCGTGTGGCCACGTAAGCAAGACGAAGCTGACCACACTGCTGCAACTCTCGAGCAAGGAAGTAACGCAGAGCGATGTGCTTCGTTCTGTGCTCCAGTCTGTGCTCCTTACACAAGGCAATCATGGTCTTGTTTTCTACGTACAGAACTGGAGGAGAATGAGGCCGCTCTCCCAAGTCGATCAGCAGGTAGGTGAGCCAGCGTAACTCCTGTGCAGCCATGGCTCCTGCGTAGATCTCAGCTGTCAGAGGTCTACTGGTGATTCCCGTTTGATCCTAGGGAAGGGTTACAGGCACGTTGGCCTGGGGGGTTATGGGCGCACTCACCCGCTACACAAACAAGCCCTTTTATCCCAGTGGTTAGTGGCTGGGATTCTGACATGGTATCAGAGCGAAGGTCTCGGGTTCGAATCCCGGTGTGTGCACCTCGGGCATCCCAGTGCGGGGGGGTGTCAGTGTCAGAAATAACTGAGCAGGAATGAATGAACTAGAACAGAGTTTGGTACAAGTAGGAAACCCTAACTTTGTGTACCCCCTAAGGTGTAACCCACTACAGCCTAGACAATATAAACATGCAATGTTTGACACACCCCCATAGGCGCAGTGGGAGACAACCACAGGGTCACAAGACCAGTCAAAGCAAAGCACAGCAAGCTCAGGGTGGATCTCAAGGATTCCACACAAATTCCGAGCACAAGCAAGCGGTCACAAGACCAGTTCACATGCAGGTTTATAACAAAGCAAGAGATACAGTGATCACAACCTAGCAAAAGTAAACAAGTAGGCATATATATATAGTGATCACAGTACAAGCAAGGTCAAGAGGTAAGCAAGTGAGGCCCAGTAGGTACAAGGCCTAGTAGAGTGCAAAAGCGCTGATGGTCACAAGGCTGAAGCGCCTTGGTGAACACATCAGCAG